CAGGTCACATTTATTTTCATTTTTACAATAGCCAGGCTATGATTGAATAAAATAGATTATTTGAACACGAAAAAAACAGTATCAAAGTATATTAAGCATTTTCATTCTAATTATTTTCAGCTTTAATATGAATTTTATGAGGTTTTTGAGAGTTTAAGGAAACATTATGGTAATTGTAAAAAAGAGATCGATTTTCATGTTCTAAGATCTCAATAATTGCTGATGACTTGGATTTTCTACCTCCATCTTTCATTGTTTTACGAAAAAAATAAGAAACTTGCTGATGATTTTTTTTTTCCACTGCACTACATGAAAATGACTTTAATCCCCATTTTTGATGAATTGTCATAAATTCAGAAACGTGATGGACTAACACATGAATGTAAGGTGTCATATCATTAGGTTTATAAAGACCTTTTTTGAATCCTTGAGTATTTGGAATACCTTCAGATGGCGTTAAGAATAAAGTAAGCCAATTCTTTGCATCATTTTGAAATTCTTCAGCATTTGTTTTTTGGTCCTTCATTTTTATGTAGAGTTCATAAAATTTATTCCATAGATTTCGTATCATATTAGCGCGTTGTCTTGAAAGAATTTTTGATAAATCAAAGAATTGTAATACTTTGATCTTATCATTTCCCATTAATGATGTGTAGCTCCAAGTTTTAGATTCTTGAATTTGCCAGAATTGAAACTTAACTTTAATTCTTTTCATTTCCTCTACAATTATCTTTCGTGCAGTATCATTAAACAAACCATATTCTGTTAATTCTGCTATCACAAGACTCCATAAACGATCAGTAATTCTAAGCATAATGTGCAATTCATCAGGAACCCAGTGATTAAGAGGTATCATATCAAAAAGTGGTTTTCTTATATGTCCTTTATAGTAATTATTTTGTTCAACTAACTTATCTATTTCTTTATTAATCTTCCATTCTTTTGATAGATCTCCTTGTTGTGATTTATCAATTGTACACCAAGGGCAGAAATTTTTACTATGAGCGCTATTAAAACCCAAACAGATTGCTAAGAACTTCCAGTCAGACGAAAAATAAAATTGAAAATTCCACTTTACATTATCAATTACCAGTCCTTCTTTTAAATTTCTTAGATCATGGCAGAATTGGGTCATTGCATTTGATAGAGAGTTGTAATCTTCACATCCAGGATAGAGTATGGTCGTATAATGATGATCTGGTTTGTGTGAAGTATTTTTATCATCTAAAATAGCCACTGTGATGATTACATAAGGTTGCTGGGCGAAACTCAGTAGTTTAGACAGTTGTTGAAATCAAAACTAGATGAAACATTTCGTTAAAAGTCAAAAAAATTGCGAAACTGCGAAACTGCGAAAGGTTTAGACATATTTTTACATAGTAATTATTAAAGTTTCGCCATTTATTATAGTAAATCATATGATTTAACATGTATTATCACTATTATGTATATCAGTATATCTTTTCCTATAAAAGTTAGAAATAATTAAAAATTTCTCACGTTTTATTTTTTTATTTATTAGATTTTTTAATTAATCGAAAAAAAATATACAAATATTTTTTTTTAATTCATTAAATTCACTAAAATTTTACAAGTTTAAAATGACTTTATTAGTTTATTACGAATTATTTCATTAATTTTCATTTATACATTCATCTAATAAGTCATTAACATTATAATTCAATATACCTCTACCATTTGTATCATCAACAGTTTCATCATCCGTTAAAACAATATTTTCATTATTATTCTTCTCATTATCAATAAAATCATCATCTAAATCCTTAGGTATATTACCGATACCTTTTAAAATTATATCATTTGATAAATCAATTTCATTTTCAATCCAAACATTTTCGATTAAAACAATTACATTGTCATCTGGAATAATTTCACCATTTATTGTTCTTCGTACAGGCTTTTCTATACGTGATCTAGATTTATCAAATGAATTGTCTTCATATTCATCTTCCTCTTCTTTATCTGCATTATCAGTTTCAGCCAAAGCTTCAGTAACTCTCTGAATTAATTCAATATCATTTAATTTTGATTTGTTTTTTACTTCTTGACCAAAAAAACCAAATTCTTTTTTCGCATTAGATTTCCAATAAGTTATCATTTTACACATAGATTCTAAAGTCTCAACACCTAGTTGTAAACGACGCTTATTGGTAAGCCATTCTAGATTGGAAAAACCTCTCTCACAGGACGCAGAATTTGGACAGATTGAAAAAAGATGTAAAGCAACAATAGGTAAAGATTCTGGGTCAGGATTAGTTTCAATTAAATTCCACCAATTAATTGGTTCTTGAAATCCATGACCAAATTCCAAATCAAATGGTGGTTCTTTCTTCCTATATCGGCTCAATTGTGAACATAATGCGCGTGATTGTTCAAGATCAAATCCTAAATTTTGACCAATAGACAGAGCCGTTTTAGCTAATCTTGCATAAACACCACTTTTTAAAGGAACGTCTAGTAAGGTATTTATTAATATGAGTAAATTTTCAATCTTGAACTTCAAATTAATTATTATTAAGTTAAAATTAATCTTACCTCGAAATAGAGGATGTAAATAAAAACAAAGAAGATATTTATCATCGTTAAATTCCTCAAATCGCTTATTCATCACATCAAAACAATGGTTACGAAAGTTACAATGAAAACTTTGTGGCAGATTTTTAAGAACTGCTCCAAGTTGGGCTAAACTTAAATAACAGTCCGCTAAAGTTGCACTTCTGGATTCTAAAGAAAGAATAGCCTTTCGTAATGGGTTTAATACAAAGGCCAAAATTTCAAGATCTGAAAAAAAATTACGTCCTTGAATAATTAGCTTTATACGATGATTGGTTAAAAGATTTTCATATTCATTTGCCATCTAGAAATGTAATAATGTTAAATTAAAGTTTGTACTTTAAATAATATTTTTACTTTTCAATAATTAATATTCTATTACCTTTTCAAGAACTGGTTTTAAATTTAAAACGGAATTTACTGATTCACTTGAAGTGGTCCATCTAGTTACACAATACGATTTAAGACCACCGCCTTTAATGCCAGATTCTTCAATCAATTTTCGAAGTTTACCACCTATATCAACAATTAATTTAATGTAATTAATATTTGAATATTCAATATTGAAATAGAAATCATTTGCGAGATTAATATATTAATATATATTTCTTACCAGCCATATGTGAAGTGCGAAAAAATGTAGTTAATATATTTACTCTACGAAGTAGTCTGTCAGCAGAATTGTGGCTGACAATATCACATGCAATTAAATTAATGCAGTGTGATATGCATCGAACACTCTCAATTTTTGGATATTTTTCATTAATAATCGCTCTTGCTTTTTTAATATTAGCTGCATTATCCAATACTATTGCAGAAATCCGATCAGGTCCTATTTTTTCAATGACCTCTTCAATTTTTGAAGCTAAATATTCAGCAGTATGTGAATCCAATGATAGATCCGAAAGTTGGAACAGATATTCCTTACGTGATGGAGTAAGGAGTATAAAGTTCCAAATGGACTGATGACGTCCAGAAGTCCATCCATCCAAAGCTTTAATGATAAAAGAAATAAAAAAATTTGAAGTTAATATTATAATATAATAGAAAAGATAAAATAATTATAAGTATTTACTTACCAAGAGTCAAATTGTGCTGATTCATAATATCCTCATTCATCTTTTCATTGACATTACATAATTCAGTTTCAAGTAAACGTCCGGATAAGTATTCCCATGTTGGAGGATCATAACCAGCATTAAGTTCTTTCAAAAGATCAATAAAGAAAGGGTGCTCCACAATTCTATATGCTATTTCACAACAAACGAAAAATTTCACAAGAGCACGGTTGATTCGATTTATCCTTGCTTCTGGAAGGTTAGTTGAATTATGAAAAGCCGTTATAGTAGTTTGACCAACCACAGACTTATCAATCTTTCTTTTTTTGTTAGAGGTATTTTCACGACTTCTAACCTTTTCCATATATTCACGTAAAATAAGTTGCGGTACATTTGAACAATGACTCGCAAGATGTTCCTCTAAGATGGGTATTTCACCACGCTTCCATATTTTTGAACAATATTTACACTCAGCTTCAAATTTTCCAGGAAAAACTGCGCTTTTTTTTAATGAAGTGCTGCCATACCGGTCCTAAGGGTCGTCCACCTGCATGTTTTTCCTTTTCAGATCTTTGAATTTCTAGATCGATAGGTGTTATTGGATCCATTTGAAGAAATAATTTGTAAGAAAAATTAAAATATAAAAAAACGAAAAAAATTTTTTTTAATAAAATAATTTCGCGTACCTCTTATCCATTATAAATAAATTTACACAAATCGTATTTTTTTTTACAATTAACATCTTCAAAATCAAATATACGTCATGCTAAATAATGTAAATACAATACTGAATATTAATAATTTTAATGTAGAAAAACGTGTTAACGAAATATAATTATATAAATGTATAATATAACGAACCTGCTATTGTACTAAATAAAGTAGTCTTTGCTTTGCAGAAGTTCTAAACTAAATGGAATTTGTTTGTCTTTGTTTGACTGCAAAGTCTATGTGCGAACAGTTTCGGTTGGTATATTGGTACAAAAGCAAGTGTATTGAACAATTGCGTAAAGTAGGCAAGTTATTCCGCAAATAGCTTCGTTTATATGCCGTTAATGACTCACTCTCCTTAACTTACACAAAGTAAAGTATTGCTAACATATATACATGTATTGGCACTTCTACTTGCTAACGTAATGTATTGCCGTTGGTATTGCTAACGTAATGTATTGCTTAAGCAATATGAGCAACATTCCATTGAATTATTTGAAAGTGTATATTCGGTAATTTTATATCGGATATTTAATATCCCGATTATATATCAAGATCATCAAGATCATCACATTTTTATTGGCTGAAACATTTCGCCACAGTTTCGCCATTTCGCATAGTTTCGACATTTCGATATTGCCGAAACGTTTCGTCACAGTTTAAACATTACTAAGTAACGTTTCGACATTTCGCAAAATCCTAAATGAGTTTCGCCCAGCAACCTTATGATTACATGTTTTACTTTCCTTTCTACGTTTCACCCATCTCCAGAGATTCGAAGATTAATTATGGGCTGATCTGGATTCAAGATGCCTTTTTGAACAAGGTTAGGAACCAAATAATACAATATATTATTAATATTTCTATAGTCACCTTTACCAACTGCATTAATTACTTCTTGTGTTATAGATTCATCATCTATATCTACTCCTTCGGATTCATCCACTTGACTTTTAGTATTTATATCTACTATTGTTATTGGTATGAGCTGGACCATTATTTCATTTATATTTATACGTTCTTTAGATATTTCTCCTTCACGTGGTAGGTTATATTCTATAGCACATAGACGTCTATAAGAATCTCTTGGAATATTGCCTTCATCTAATGCTCTAACTATTGATTCAAGTTTTTGTTTTTTTTTAGTTTTATCTTCATTCTCGTAACTGATATTAAAAGTATGTTTTTTATTAACAGAATAACATATACTTTCCAATGCTGGTACGTCTTCCAAATTATATAGCTTCTGTGTTTTTTCGTTGAATTCAGCTAATATATGTTTTCCAATACTCATAGCACGTTTTGTAAGGGTGGAATTTCCACATTGGTCAATTGGTTTTAATATATGTGCACGTCGCTTGCCTTCTCTTGCCATTTCTAATGTTTTGAGATGAAGACCAAACAAATAAATTCCTAATGTTTTTGTTTTTTTTAAAGATGTATATTCCTGAAATAAATATTTTAAAGTTAATTTATAAATAGAAAAAAATAGAAAAACTAAAAAAAAATAATTTAGTGTACAAACTTTATGAAATAAATTTGTAACATCCGTCGCACTTCTAACTGAAGATACTACATGTTCAAAACACTTTCCAAACCAGATTTGAAAAACTGGTTTATTATTAATGTAATTAATAAAACACTGAACAACACATCGATTATTACTTTTACCCCAAGTTGTTTCTACCATATAATCATCAGGGATTCGATATTTATTAGGAGGAAGAGTGTACGCTAATAAAGATTTATTAGGATACGTTCCTTCTTTTATAATTTTATATGAAAAACTATGTCCTGATTTTTTAAAATTAATAATTGAGTCAAAGGGGTAATTATGAATTTCTTGTGTGTCAGACATTTGCAAATTAGAAGCTAGGAATAATTTTTTAAACCGCGTAATTATTTTACAAAGTTTCGTGAATTTTTTTTTTTTGCATGAAATTTGTGTTACAGATTAGATCGACCAATAAAATGGTTTGATGTAGTGTTACCATATCCAATTTAACATGACCGTCATTTGGGGTTACGTCTTAAAAATTGGGGTTAGAGTTAAGATCCGCGCATATGATTTTTTTTAAAGAAAAATACCCCTTAAATATAATTGCTTTGTTTTACAATCGATGAATAGCAAAAATATATAATTACAATTATTGCTATAACAAAAATATTAAATCTATATTTTTTAATTATAGAATTTTTTATTTAGATATTATTAACATGTTTCAAATAAATTGATAAATAAAAATATGTGTATATGTAATGATCAGTTAAATATTTTTTAGTTTTATTGTAAAGTTAAAATTAACCAATAAAATCACATTGATCTTTATGCATAATGTAATAATATAAACCAATTAAGATCATTTTGATTATATGCATATGATATCTAAAAATAGATAAAATTTGTGTTTACTAATGCGTGATTTTTTTTGTTTATTTTCAAAGATACACTTTTCTTTCTTATTAAAAATACTATACTTTTCTTTACAGTATTTTTGTTTGTCACTTCTTTTCTCTTTTATTCAAATATACTTTAATTATCTTTTACAATATTAACAATACTTTACCACTTTAGTTTATATATTCAACATAGTAAGACATATCTATTCACGAAATGTACCTACCACTCACATACGAAAGAAGAGAATAAAAGAAAAGAAAAAATGTACACATCTACTCACATACAAAAAAGAGAAAAGCTGCTTTTAAATAATAGTAAAGCTATTAAGCAAGGTATGAAAATAGGATATACACGTATTTTTCATATTTTTCTTTACAATATGTTGTGGTTTGAGTCTTTCTTTGTGGTATAAGTGTGAATATATTTTTCAACAGCCATGTATCTATTGCTTGTTAAATATATTTGCAATTTCTTGTCTTTCTTTGTTAAACTGTGGTATTACAATATGAAGTTTTTTAATGGCCATGTATCTATTGCTTGTTAAATATATTTACAATTTTTTTTGTAATATTTGCTTTAGCCTGGAGGAAAATGTTATGAAATAGGGCTGGATATTTTATGATATTTTTTGCCTTCCAATTACTTTGTCCGGAAGTAGCCTGACAATTTGTCGTTGTCCGGAAGTAGCCTGACAATTTGTCGTTGTCCATCAGTTGTAGCAACCAGCATTTTTTTACAATATTATGATTTTAAGAAACAAAATTTTTTCAAAAATTTAAAGAAAGAACTAACTTAAAAATATTATTTTATTATTCTTTACAAAATGCTGGTACTGGAGTTATTTTTTCTCTCATTTATCAAATCCCAACATGTCCAAAGACTAATCATATAGTACGCTGTGGTCTGGAACCACCCAAGATTTTTGACTACTTAGGGATGAAGTTGTAGGGTACTTGTACCTGATAGGCTAGCCTCCTTTGACTTAGGGTCTCATTAATCGGAAAACGAGGTGGTTCCTAAGTATCTTCCACATCAAAAGCAAACATTTTTTGATATTATACGTAAAGATGGTAATTCTATATCTGTGAATTCAAGAAAAAAAAAATCTAAATCAAAAGATGTCAAGGTAATCTAAACATTCTTTTAGAAAAATTTAATCAAAGTTTAATTTGGTTTATATATAGTAATTTCAAGAAAAAGAAAATCTAATCATATATTTTTAGAAGAATACTAGTGTTCACCTGTTGTCTACGACAACAGTTAATATGTAATTCCGGCCAGAATTAAAAGATCTGCAAAGAATTTCCTTTTTTGGAAATTTGAGCAACAAAATTTTTTTAATTTCTCTGAAAAGTAACAGAAGACAAAATTTCCTTTTTTGGAAATTTGCGTAACCGACAAATTCCTTTTATGGAATCCTGTGTAACCCAAAATTTCAGTTTTCCGCCAGAAATAAAATTTCCTTTTTGGTCTTGTGTAACATTAGCGACGAATAGGAGTAGGGTTACACAATTCAAATGACTTATTTATATGGTTAATCTAAACATAACGCCCACGTGATTGCAGTGTTTTTTAATATATAGATGGGAGCAGTGTTGGGTTTTGGACTTGTCCAATTGGTTTTTTTAATTAGACAATTTTGGACTGTCCAAAACCAGTTTTGGACATAGTTTTGGACAGTTTAAAACTGCTCAAGAGTCCTAATATTTATTAACTGAAACTAAAAATAAAATGAAAATATAATGTTAAAATATTAAAAAAGTAAATATTTAATATAATTAAATAATAAAAATTAATGTAAAATTAAAATAATATTAAAAATTAACATTTAAAGATTTTTGAAGTAATTTAATAATTGAACTAAAATTAAAATTAGCCAAAATTAGTCATAATTCTGGCCAAAATTAAATTTTTTGTCATGTGATCTGTCTAAAACCTGTCTAATGAAAAAAAGGTTTTGGTTTTGGACAAGTTTTGGACAGGTTTTGGACAAATGTCTAAAACGTCCAATTGTCCAATTGCCCAACACTGGATGGGAGTAACGCATATCAAGGTAATTTAAATATTTATTTTTTTATTTTATTAAAAAAATTTAATAGTAAACTTCAAAAAAAGATGAAATAAATATAAAGGTATATTTTTTACTAATTTTTATTTAAATTATTAATATTTTTAATACTTCTTTTCTTTTTTTTTAACCTACTAATGTTTGTTTTTACTAATATATTTTACTACTAAATATACTAACATTTTCTATTACTAACCATTTTTTATGTTTTCTTTTCTTTTATTAACATTTCTAATATTATTCCTTTTCTTTTACAAATTCGTTTAACAATATTTATACTAATATCTTTATTATTACTAATATACTTTACTATTTCTATTTCTTTCTTTTAAATATTAAAAAGATAAAAATAAGCAGCAAATAACTGAACACATTATTTGTAGATAACAGATATAAATAATTCAAATTGTTTATATGGCTAGAATAATTTTTATATACTTTTTTGTAATTTTATTTTTTTGTAATTTTTTATTATTAATTAAAAATAATAAAACTTTTAGTACTATTAAATAAATTAATATTATAATTGAATTTAAATTATGGATTTATTAGTATTTATATTATCAATCATCGGACAAATCCAGTTACACAAATTTACTAATTGTTTAAAATTTGTGTAACCTTAAGTCAAAAACTTCATACAACGATAACTCATTTAAACAGTATATTACGTTATGATTTTATTACTGATAACCAATTTTCAGCTTCCATTTTAAGTATCGATTCATTCTTTTTTAAACAATTATTATTAAAAAAAAAATCTCTGATATATTAAACTTCGTCTGTTATTTTTGTCTTTTACTCAAGATCCTCTTTAATGCCAAGTCGTTAAAAGTTAATAATAGATAAAATATATGTAAAAAGACACGCTTGTTAAAATCTGATTAATATGCAAAGGCAGTTTACAAGCTAGTTTTTTTTTTTGCTAGTAAAAATGCATTTTTCATTATTAGTATATATACAAAAATGGTTAAAACCATTATTTTTATTCTAATGCAAATAAAATACTTTAATATTATTTAAGTATTATCAATTCTCTTTGCACCTATTATTGCTCCAATACCTCTTAATACACTGAATATTCCAACTTTGTGGTAATTTGGTCAAAACTTCGTTAATTTCATTTTCCGAAGGCATTATTTTTTTTTGCAATAAACACTTCAAAATTTCCTTTTCTTCCTCAGTTGTTACAACTCTTTGACGTTTTAATGGAGGCTGACTTTCAACATTTTCTTGATTTTCTGGTAATTCAATACATTTTCGCTTTGGGTTAATATTTTTGTCTTTTAAAACTGACTGGGAATCTTGTTCATTAAATTGAATAGTTTGCAACACCCTTGCTAATTGAGAAGAGCCTTCATTGTCACCTTCTGGTATGGTTGGCGCATTTTTTTTTCTTGATTTTTTATTTTTTGATAAATCAGAAACTTTAGTTTTCATTACTGACAACTTTCTTCTTCCTTTAGTATTAATTGCTTCAATTTTTATTACTTCTTGTCGATAAATTTTTTTTATTCTTCCTAATCCATCTTCATAGGCTTGATTAATTTTCATTAATCCTTCTTGGTTTAATTGGGGCGGAGAATTTTTTTTGAAAAGGTCATGATCGATAGCATTATCCATTTTAAATGCTTCTAGCAAGTCGTGTGATAATTTCCATAATGGATCAATACGATTGTTAGTGTTATGATCTTTTCGATAGTATGTGTGAGTATCCAGAAATTCATTCAATAATGTGTCTATTCGTTCTCTCTCCTCTTGAGTTGCTCTAATTTGTAATTCTAAATTTTCTTGATTACATGAATTTCCTGTAATATTTTGTTTGATATAGGCAACACCATGAGTCTCCAAGGCTTCATCATAAGCTGGATAATGTCCTTCTCTTGCTAGATTTATAGAGGCACAATGGTGAAGTTTTTGTTCTAATTGTGGGTATTTTTCTAAAATAGAAAGGAAATGTATAACAGAAGTAGTATAGTTATTTTTCCCAGCTGCCGGAAACAGTGGAGCAAAGGCAGCTAATCTAAATCTCTGCAGTTCATAATTTCCACAACGTATTCCGGTAAGATGAATTTTCCAAATTGAAAACCATTCATAATATAAATACCAGATTCTTAAACAAATCCTTTCATTTTCAGGGCCAGATAACACTTCTTCAATTTTAATATTTTTTTTTGTATGTATATATGAATAGCTATACCAACTGCAGTCCATATTAACTCCAAAACTCTTCTTGTGGATCGATAATCAACAACGGCTGCCAATTTATCCAAAAATTTTACACCTAAAGCTGTAGTCAAATCATAAATGCCGTAACTTGAAAATAAAATAAGAAGTGCACTCATCATATCCTTAGACGTATGCCACTGACCCAGGATAGGTCGTATATTTTCTGATTTATTACGGCATTTAATTAATCTCCTAAATATTGCTTCGTCAGCACAAATATCTAAAAAGTCATTCTCATTTAATAAAAAATCCTTTTTATACATTTCTGTAGCTCGTAAGATCTCATTGTTATCATTTGGTGATCCACTTGGTTCAAGTATAACTACATTCGGAGGTGGGAGCTTACAGCCAAAATTTATTTGTTTTGATATTTCTAAATCTACTGCTGTAAAATCGAAGTTTTTATTATACTCTAATTCTCCTTTTTCATTGAGCCGAAATGCTAACAAATCTTCAAATACTTTATTAAATTTCCAGATAGTTTCATGTATTACTTGTGACATTCCAAAGAGCTGTATATTAGAATTTAATTCACGAAGTGGTTCAGGTTTTTCATTAATAATTTCAGGTAATGTGAATTGGAACACCATCCTCAATGTAGCATGTGATGTACCACGAGTTGCATCATAGATATTTCCGAATTGAAAACTTCTTTCTTTAAAGTCTATATTATCTATGACTGCTAAATTAAAAATTGTTGTTCCATTTAATAAACGTTTAGATGGATCTGCATTTTTCATTCGTATTTTCTCTAATCTTCGCTCATGTCTATTTGTATGCCCAATAATAGAACATTTGGTTAAAAGATCATGCAATGAGGACAGCAACTTTGGTCATCAGCATAATGATGCTAATACGCTTGGTAGCCATAAATTTGAGTATGGAAATGCAAAATTAACTAAAGATGAAACTAATAGAGAAAGAAGTGTATTGACTTTTTGTAAATCCATTTTTTTTAACGGTGAGTGTTGTTTACGATTTGATTCTGCAGTTTTATTTTCTAGTATTGACATAAGCATTGATTCAAAAAAGGTTATTAAAGGCCTAGGAAATGCACCAATATAACTACTAAGGCTTTCGGGATTTTGTAAGTTATTTTTATTTTTTTTAAGATGTTTGGATGATTTCCATAATTCTTGTCCCATTTTTTGGCCAATTTCCTCATATTCCTTTTCATCCGACTCTTTTTCTTGGAAATCAATAGGAATTTTATTTATTTTCATTATTGTTTTTAATACAAAATAGCTCGGAATATTATGATTACAATTAATATGTTGAGATGTGTTTGTAGTAGGTTGTGGCAAATTAAAAAATGGAATAATTTGAGGTAAAATTGCTGTAAGAATATTTTTTTGATATTCAAAATTTTCATTTTTTGCGACATTTAAAAACCATTGTGTTAATAAATGGAAAGATTTTTTAATATCTTCCCTATGATATCCCTTTTCTATACATGATAACATCGCTCTTCCTCTTCCTGGTTTAATATGAAGATGTCCTTCTTCACGTTCATAACAATTACAACATACATATCGGGGACTTTTAACTTCATTATGACGTTTACATACAGAATCATATGATTCTAGTGCACTACAATTAACTTGGCCATTACAAACTACTTGGATATTTTTTCCAATTATATTCCATGAATGTTTTTCACATCCTAAACCTCGTGTAAAAAAATAAAAAAGCTTTCCACAAAATAAACATCTTTTTCGATGAAGTATACTTTGACCTGTGTTTTTTGTTTTTTTAAAACCTGGATTATGAAGATTTTTTTGATCGTGATTAAAATGGTAACTACAAATACCCAATTGTTCCAATATGCCATCTGCTTCAATAATACTTTCCCCATCTATCTGCCATACACCACAAAGCTGCCATAATGTTCGGAAACTTTTTGAATTTTCACATCTTTTAATACACCCGTCTATTTTATTAACAATGACACAACAGGTTAAAATTTTAGACTCTTTTTGTTCAATAATTATGTCTTCTGAACATAATTCTGATATTAAGTCATCATTATCATCAGTAGATATACTGTCCGTTTCACTTGTATCTTCTGTATATAGTTCAACAATTTTTTTTAAGTATTCTTCGTCCAAAGCAAAAATAGCTGGCTCTTCTGATTCATCACTCTCAATTTCAGTTTCAAACATTTCTAAAATTGAAGCTTCCGGAATGTTTTCATACATATTATATAAAGACATTTCAAAAATTTGAAAATTTATGTACTAACTTGCCAAGGTTCCCTTGAACTAAACGTGAAAAGTGCGTTAAACATGAAGATAGAGTATATCGTGATAAGCATATTTATTTTTAGAAGCTTTTTTTTAGATCGGCTTCGACAAATATAAAAAAAGGAGAAAATTTTAAAAAATAAAAAGTAAAAATAAATAAAATTTTACGCTATTTGAACAATTTTTTCTCATAAAAAATTCAGTTTTAGAGCGTAAAAAGTTCAGTTTTCGGAAGTTTATTATATATAAAATAGAACATTACATCAACTTCATAGCTAAGATCCTTTTGAATGAGAAAACTTTTATTAATAATATGTATAAGAAAAAATGTCAAAAGAAACTTTGAGATTGATTTAGTCGTTATTATTGGGTCAGTTATATATCACAATATTCAATTATAGTTAAAAATGTTCAATTTTCGTAATAAAATTAATAGTAAATTATGTCATGCATGATGTTGATCACTACTTGATCTATGTATCACTGGATTTGTCCGGTGATTGTTATTGCATAAAATAAATATTATACAAGTGTATAATATCTATCCGATATTTTACTATAATATACCGGGTATCTGACAATTGACTACCCGATATGTATATTATATTATATGATGTTTGTCCCCGATTTTCTATATTTCTACTACATATATCAGGTATCTGATATATGTAGTATTGTTAAATATCATACATATATATCACATTTATTGTACACATATCAGGTACCCAATATGTACCCAATAGCATTAATTTTGACCAGTGTAATAGTTTTTACCTTACTTTTTTCTTAAATTCTATTGGTTAATTAGCTAAAAAAAAAAGAATCATAACAATATAATATAAAATTTCCTTTTATAATAGGATTTACAAAGAATTTATATATGTTTTTACCTTAGGTCTGGGGTGACCTATCTTATAAGTAAGCAAAATCCTATCCTATTTTAACAAAAAGTTATAATGTTCTCCTTTTAATACTACTTAAAATTTACAACTATACTATTGGTATTGAGTAATTATCACAGGTTGTAATAGCTTTTGAGTATAATCTTATATCTAATATAGTAGTATGAAAGGGTATTAAATATTTGTAAGTTATTTATCAAAAGTCCTTTATGATAGTAATACTTAGTGTAGATAGTAAAATATATTAGTTAAATATTATATTATGTAATAGATAAAGGATGAGTAGAATGGTGTATCTTTGCTTAAATCAGTCTTCTTGAGAGGTCTAATGGGAAATATTCCAATCTGTGAGTAATATCTTGTTGTAATAAGATGAAAGGATAAAGCTGAACTTAACCTTAAGTGGAGTTGAAAAGGCTGAGCCATTAAATATTGCAAAATAATTAGTATTATACAATTATTTTGACTTCTAGTGATTCAATTTGAATAAACTTTTTTTTTATTTTGTAAAGCTAAATTTGTAGAGCTAATGGAAGCTATGAATTAAAAAAAAGTTCATTAAAATTAGATCACTAAAAGCCAAGATAATTGCATTATAATAATTATATATATGGTCTGGTGTAAAAAGATTTGTACATAAAAAAAAATGTTAATAAAAAATTTTTTAATAAATTAAATTTCATTTTTTTTTATATAAATCTTATTAGTATATATTCAGAAATATTATAATATCATTATTACACCAAATTGTACATCACCATCAGTCATCAGATTTACTATAATTATTAGATTCTTTATTAATTAATTGGATATTTTCGTTAGCTTCAAAATATACTAAAATATACCTTGGTATTTTAAGCACTTTTTTCTAAAATTTATTATAATCTTTAAGTTAACTTCATTTTTTAATGCATTTAAAAGTATATTTCAAATAGGCAATAATTTAGGATCTTACAATTTCACCTTTTACAACTGCTTAAACACCTTCAATTGGCTGTAGTTCATAGAGCTTAGATCCGGTGAATGATTCTAATGGGTTATTCAGTGAATATCCTAGGATTACAGATATATCTGTTCACTTTTAGATAGGATATCTGGATTTTGCTTAAGAAAATAGGATATTCACTAAATATAATCCGGATATCTTAGAATATGATGTAAATATAATGTAAATATAATGTAAACATGATGTAATAAAATTTTAACAATGGAATATTACTTAATATTAATCCCATATGTATTTTTTTGGAGAGATTAGTTTAATTAACGTTTTCATCTGAATAAGTAGTCTAGAGTTATTTTTTTAAAAAAAAAATACTAGCTTAAAGAAATAGGATGTCTACTGTAATATAATAGAAGTACAGTAGATAGTAATATTGAGAATTACCTAGATTTTGATAAATGTCAAAATATAGATGACGAAACAACAACAATAATTCAGCTTTTTAGAATCTGGTGGCCATAATCAGGATACGAATAAAATTTAAAAATAACTCAATGAATATCCTATGAATATCCAGATTTTAACATCCGGATTAATATTTAGAATTGATATCTGGATATCCAGATTTATAATCTTTGAACGGACATATTCAGTGAATATCAACGGATAATCTGGATCTAAGCTCTAGTAGTTTATAGTAATAAATGACATATAAAAACTTCATAATCATATTGTTTTGCTATTTTAATGCAAGAAAATGGTACTATTTTCTTGTGCATTTAAACCAGCTCCAATAGTTCTAGTTTTTGTAATTCATTTGAAAAACAATATTGACTTCCAGTTTTTCATGCTTGAAGTTGGATTAGGCCATTTAAAGTGTTTTATGTGGTGTAAATGTGCAATCACTGTACTTATTCCAGTCTAATGCAATGTTCTCAACTGTACTCTTGGTACAATTAGTGTTTCAGCAACTTACTTGCGTAATTTAAGCTCCAGATGACTTTCTTTTGTAAAATTAGCCTTTGGAAGATAATTATGCATACTTTATTATCATTAGTTTTTCATTGTCTGTTAGTGGTATGCCACTTCATTTTAAGGAAGAAGAAAGTATCATATAATAAAAAAAATTTTAGCAGCAAATTCAGGTAATTATTTACTAATAAATATGTAAATCTCAGCCCGTTATGTTTAGTTTTACAAAATTTTTCTTTGGCGTAAATCTTATCCTTTTTTAGTGATGTATAAATCTTTTTGCACTGGACCATAATAATGATTAAATTACTTACAGTATATTTATTTTTAAATATATAAATATTACATGATATATGGGGACACCCACAGCTATACATGCCACCCAAATTATTTTGGACTGCCGTAATTATAAGTAAAATCCCAAATTCAATTATGGCATCCCAAATTATTTTGGCACTTTACATAGTAAATTATATATAAACTGAATGAATTATGGCATCCCAAATTATAATTATGACATCCCAAAATAATTTGGACAGCATGTATACCCACAGCAAAAGCCGGGGCTCAGCCAAAATTTTGATTTTAAAATTTTATTATAATTATATATTTATTAATCCAATCTTTTAGAGAAAAGAAAAATTTTTTATTCATAGCATATTAAAAAAATATAATATTTTATAATTTATGATTTTTGTATTTTTATTTTATTATATTTAATGGATAATATAAACTTGCTAGAAAAAAAACCAATGCTTTAATGAATTCCTTGCAAAATTTTACCCTAGTTTACAAAAAACTGATTTTAAAAATCTTTAAAAATGATAAAATTACTAAATTAACCAATAATATTAAATTGTGATTTTTCGCAAAATCACGTGATTTGCCGAGCCCCGGTTTTTGCTGCGGGCGTTCCCATATATAGACCTGATTTTATGAAGTGCCATACTGATCAAAAATCTGGGGTTTAAACCCCAGATCAAATCCCAGATTTATCTGGGGTGAAAATGGATTAATCCATATTTCATCCCAGATTTTCCTATATTTCACCCCAGATTTGATCCATATTTTATCCCGGATCTGATCCACATTTTACCCCAGATTAATTCCTTAAATTTCACCAAAAATTACATCACACCCAATTGTCAAACCCCGGATTAATCCATATTTCATCCCAGATTTGATCCATATTTTACCCCGGATTTGATCTATATTTTATCCCGGATTTGATTCTATATTTTATCCCGGATTTGATTTATCCCAGATTCAATTTTATCCCAGATCTGATCTATATTTTATCCGGATTATATTTTATCCTTAGACTATATCACAGGTTTTAAGTCATGTGATCAGATTTTTTTGTTTATGAGATCATTTTAGAAACCTCTCTTATAACTTTAAAATAAAGTAAAATTTCTATTAAAGTTTACATGAGATGTTTTGAATAGAGATAAAGATGACCCTGAAATTAGATTTTCCAAAATTCTGAACCCATAATCCGTAATTCCAAACTTCTGAAATCTGAAATTCCAGCCAAAATTGAAATTAAATATGTAAATTCAGCTGGAATTATGCACTTAATTCCAGCAGGAACTATTGAATTTCGATTTTGGCTGGAATTACGGGTTCATTAATTTTAATTATGAATTAATTTTGGCAGAATTTCAGATTTCAGATTTTTGTTAAATTAATTTCAAATTTCAGGGCTATCCTTAAATATAGAGATTACATGATTTTAAATTATTACCAGATGTCATACCCTTTACGCTTAATTTCAGCCAAGTTGCCAAGTTTGTAATGCTGGTTCCATTCTCACGTTATATCATATGACCGAAATTTAGGTAAGTTTCAAAAAATATTTTTCAAAAATAAAATAATTTTTTAATTATTTTTTTTTCATTTTTATAGGAACTGACATTACACTTATTGAAATTTTAGTTCCAATAAAATTGGAAAATTATACATAAGGTTATATGACTTTTTAAAAGGAAAATTTTCATATCAATCATTTGGTATTATTTATTTTATTTCTCTTATCTAACAATTTTATAATTAGAAGGCAAAAAAAAACCAAGCCCTTTAGATAAATATAAACAATAAATATTTTAGATTATATAGAGGAGAAAATTTGTTGGTATTATTGAAAAAATATTTAGTATTATAATAATCATATATATAATTCATATTTAAAGTTTAAACATCTTATATATAATAAATAGAAACTTTATTATAAAAAATTTTTTTAAATTTTATTTTCAGAATTTTTCTAACTATTACTGGAGATGATGATCACCAGGTGACTGAAATTATGATAATCAACCAGCATTAAAAAATATAATGCCAGTAAAAATTGATAATTCTGGCTAAATGAAAATAATTACCTGGTAATTTGAAGTAAAAAACTTATTTTCATACATTTTTTATAAATAAATATGTTGAAAAATATTTTGAGATTTTTTTAAAAATTTATTATTAACCTATTAACAGGCTGATTAAAATAAATTATTTTTATTATTTATTCAGTGCAATACCTCTATAATAGGTATCTCTTGTATTTTATATGATGATCTAATAATTAGAATTTTATAAAATTTTATCATTAAATAGTTTTTAATAAAATAAATTGATTAAGTAAAAAGAGCAGCGTAAGGAGAATTTAATTTTATTGGTTGATCGGCAAGAATTCTAACTGGCTAAAATCAATAATTGACTTCGTAATGTTGGATTTATATCACCAGGATAAAATCAAATATAGATAAAATCAAATCCGGGATAAAATATAAATCAGATCCGGGATAAAATATGGATTAATCCGGGGTAAAATATGGATTAAATCTGGGATGAAATATGGATTAATCCGGGGTTTGACAATTGGGTGTGATGTAATTTTTGGTGAAATTTAAGGAATTAATCTGGGGTAAAATGTGGATCAGATCCGGGATAAAATATGGATCAAATCCGGGGTGAAATATAGGAAAATCTGGGATGAAATATGGATTAATCCATTTTCACCCCGGATAAATCTGGGATTTGATCTGGGGTTTAAACCCCAGACTTTTGAACAGCATGGCGCCTCATATGATTTAAAGTTTAACTCCCCACCTACTTTCAAATCAGCTGATTTCTGGCAATGCCCCTTATTGAATTTTTAGATAAAATTATTTGAAAAGTATATTAAAAATACATAAAACATATTATAAGATATAGATTAATTATATATTGAAGAAATTCAATAATAAATTTTTATTCTCTTCAAAAATTAATTACTTTCATATATATATATAATTTTTTTCCTTTGAAAAATATCCATGTAATTTAATTGCCCTTTGTATGTATAGAGTTATGCAATAATCTCTTATTCGAAATGGAATTCACTTTTATTTCTTCTAGAATTTGTGAAAGGAAGCATCATTGTACAGTATGTTTTTTTAACTTACTATGAATGTATTGAATGTATTTATTGTATTGTACATATCGGACCTCTTTTTTATATTGTAATACATTGGAAAAAACGATCGGACATGTATGTTACAGTATTTGATTTAACGGTACAAACGCTGAAATAAAAAAAAAAATAAGTATTAACTATATTGGCTCCATGTCATTGCAAAATTTTAAATTTTAAATCCTTTATATTTATCTTCTATATAAATTTGCTTCTCAAAATATCTCCTCGTTTCTATTTAGACATAACATCTGTGACTTTATAATTATCTGAAGCTCAAACAAAAAAAAACTTAAGAATTCATTGTCAATTCATATGCGTTGATAACAGGAGTGGTATAGTGCTAGAAAGCTTAGAAAAAGAGACCAAAATTGATAAAAATGCTAATTTGAACATTTGTTATTCAAAAAAAAAATATTTTTTTTCAAGAATCTGGTCCCGTTTCCAGCACTCACCCCACGTATTTCATCCTACTTTCGCAGTAATAAGAAAAAATATAAAATATAAATGAGATTTATCTGAACTGGTAGTAATCCTTAAATATCTAAAATGCTGATTTCACCACTAAGTTATTTCAAACTATTCTTGCTACCCTATAAAAAAAATGCCATCGAAAATGTCCAGAAAATGTCTGGAAAATTGCAATATTCCGGACGCTGAGATATTGTGAATTTCCGGAAAATGCCCAGAAATGTCTAGGAGGGCTCGGGCCTGGTGTCCAGAAAGTGTCCAGATTATTGCAATTTTCTGAACATTTTTCATTTTCCGGACATTTTCTGACAATTTCCGGGGCATTCTTTTTTTATAGGGCTACCGATACTTGTGAATATGAAATTTATAAAATACATTATAAATAACTTGATTATTTTGTTATTCTATGCAAATTATTCTATATTTTATTGAATGTTATTTAAAACGTGTGATAAAATTTTTTAATATATAGTAACTCAGTAACATTAGATTATTTCTTCACGTCGGATTTTCCTTCAGTAACTAATTTCTCAACATTAAGTTTTCCCTTCTCCCCTATTTCTGTTGCAGTTTTAATTTGAGAAATTGTAGGATTTTTATCGACTCCAGTCGCAGTAACGACAGCTTGAACACCTTCTGTGGCCAATTTTTTAATGTTAGGTTTTCCTCCTTCTCCTGAAGTTGCGGCATCAGAAATTTTTTCAGCAACGTCAATACCATTTTTAATTGAATTAACGACTTTTATTTCTTTTTCATCATTGTCAAGAATATTTTCAACACCATCTTTAACTAAAGTATTTAAATCTTTCTTTTCCCCATTTTTAAATTTTTCTTCACCAGAAATTTTTTCAATATCATTTTTTGTAGGACCATCCAAAGTTACTTTAATTAAATCATTCATATTCGGATTTTTTAAAACATTCTGTTGAGCTCCAATTAATAATTTTTCAGCACTTTGAGGCTTTCTATTAGCTTTATCGACTAACATTAAGTCTTCTTGTTCATGAGTTTTTTCATCTATTTTTTCATCAGCACCAGATAATTTATCACCAAAGCAAGGGTAACAAACCATTAATCTCGTAATATATTTAAATAATTTATAAATAATTAATTCATTTTTATTAACTTCCCAAATATCTGCCATACATGTAATTATATTCATAAAAGATGTCATTATAATAGCCAATATAGCAATAGAAGTTATAGTTTTCGTGAAAAGTGCTGCGTGTCTTACAATGAGCATTTCTTGTGTTTCCGCTTGTTCTTGTCTTTTTCTATAACCACCAGTTATACTAAGAGGAAATGATGAAGGGTCTAAATTATTAGCTTGATCAGTAAATTTATTTATGGCAGAAAATTTATCATCTGCAGATATAATAGCAGCTATAATTATTAATATTTGACTTAATATACCCATTATTTGATAAAATTGTGTATCTATTCTTCTTACAGCTGTAAAGTGTGTACGTAATTTATTCTTTAAAACATCAATAAATTGAAATCTATTTCCTAGCTGATTTGATGGTTGTGATGATGATGTCGTTGTTAAATTATTTTTATGTGTTAAAGTTTTTCCAAGAACGAAAATATTTACTAAAACGAAAATGATAATCTGTAAACTAACACTAAAACCTGCTATTTTACCAACGGTAGTAAGGGAAGAAAAATTATATTCAGGAAAATTAAAACTATTAATAAAAAATTCATAAAAAAAACCTCCTACATTATTAGATAAACCTAATAAAGTTAACCATTGCATCATTAGAGCAGTATAAAATAATAAGTAAGATATGATTAAATCGATCCTAAAAATTCTTCTAGTAATTTTTTTTTCTTCTTCAGCAATTTGAGCAGGGGTTTCAAAATCATGATCTTTAATCTTTTCTTCAATATTATCTTTTACACCTAATTTATCCATCGTTTTTAATGTATCAGAAACCGCTTTACCGGTTACTTGTGGACTAACATTATTTAATGTTCCGAGAATTTTACCCCCTTTACCTCCCAATTTTGGCATATTGATCATATTGATCGCTAATGGCTTACTAGGTTCAATAACCGGGGTTGCCGTGGCAGGTTTAACTGCAGACATCTTTAAAACTAAGATTATGAATTTAATCCGGATTTTTTTTATAGTTTAATAATTAATTGTAATACTTAAAAGTGAACAATTAAAAAAAACGAAAAGAAATTTTTTAAAATATCGTCACGCATTTTGATATTATTTGAATTTATTTATTTTTGAAAAGAGTAACACAGAAATTATAATAATTTAACAGTTAACAAATACGCGTATTATTATTAAAGTGTTCAGCACAAATTTGGTGATTTTATTTCGTGTTACCATGAATTTTCTAGTGTAATTGTTTTGTTCAAATTATTAATAACGAGTTTCGATAAGTAAAACGTGATACGACTTATTAGCCAAAATTATCGCAATGTGACCAACCGGTTCTTTAAAAGAAATTATTTTCATTTCTTGAATGAATGAAATTTTTTATTTATTCGTCCTTTACTTTAGTTTTTTTGAGTGGGGAATTTTCTTCGTGAATTATAATAAAATTAGTATTTTTTCCATTTGTTTGTGATTGATTTTTTATTAAAAAAAACTTTACTACTGTATAATGATAATTCGAGTGAATGAATATTTATTTTCGTAAATTAATTTAGTTAAAAAAAAAAGAGAACTCATAATGAATTAAATAACAATTTTATGTAATATCATTATTATTGAAAGCCAATAATGCAAAATTACCTTCTTGATCCTCCCCATGTGAATAACATATATGCAATATATGCAATAAGTTAGTGATACAGTCCAAGAAGGTAAATCTATGAATATATGCGAGTCAAAGAAAGTAAGGTGATACAGAAAGAGCTTATAAAATTATATCATTGGCTAATATTTATATTTGGACTAATGAACTCAATGATAAAATTTCATTTAAATAATTGGACTTGGATAATACCTAATACTGCACTGGATATAAACAAAATATAACAAAACATTTAAAGATATTTTCTTTAAAAAGACGTTAACTATATTCCTTCAAAAAGTCATTGTTATTTTCAAGAACAATATCAAAGAAGACTGATTGGCTGAAAAATTAACTTTTAACTATATTTTACAATTTAAACCGAATTTGTGATCTTTTATAGGTTATATTTAAAAGAAAACAGTTTATAATACGGAATATAACATATTCGAGACACTACCAATGAAATACTAGTGTACTTTTGTATATTTATTATGAAGAAAAAAAAAAAAAGATCATCGCCAATCAGAATTGTCTCTCAAATTCCTATGTAAAATAAATATGTAGGATTATAATATAATTATATGTTGAACAATCCTCTAACTCTAAAAATATTTTTGATAAAATCTACGATGCTTCAATTGCTTCATGCTTGCACTTTACTTCCCTATGAAATTTCGGAAGAAACACATCTTACGAAAAATATTTTTTAGGTTAATTAATTTATAAATTATTAATATTTGATAACCAATGAAACGAATCAAATTAAAACTGATCAATAAAAATGATTTACACAAAAAAAAAATGAAACGGGTTACGGCCTATTTTTCCTTTAGACTAAGCCTCATAAATATCCATAAAAGAGAATTTTACAGACAAAGCCACAAACTTAGATCTACCCGTATACAATAAAATAAAGCCACAATCTTTAAAGCCTCGAATGTTTGAAAAATCTTTGTCTTCGAAATGTTTTAATGAAGAGTTGTTAAGAGAAGATAATAAATATCATATGGATTACCTAACCAATAAAACATGTCCGACAGTTCAATCAAGAGAATATTTATTTCTTGATCAATCAGCAGGAACGTTATTTGTAGGTGAATAAAAAGATTAATAATTTTTTGTTTTAAAAAGAAATATTCTCAATTGACTTATTAATTATACGCGAATATACTTTTTTAGTGCATACGATAGGATGGATAACGGCATCGCTATTTACTTTACTTTCTTGTATGCTTACATTTTGGTTAATATGTCAACACGTAAAATATTACACAAAGGTAATAAGCGAGATAGATTTATATTTAATACATCAAAATAAAAGTTAATACTTTTTATTATTATAGCCTAATGAACAAAGATTAATTATAAGATTATTAATGATGGTTCCAATATATACAATATTCGATTTATTATCATTCTTCTTTTTGAAACAATCAATTTATTTTACAACAATAAGAGATGCATATCAAGCAGCTAGTGTTTTAGCATTTTTTAATCTTTTATTAGTGTATTTAGGACAATCAGAATCTATTCGTATAATAAGATTATCAAGAATTTCTTCAGCTCCTTCCCCATTTCCATTTTGCTGTTTTACATTTAATCCATCAAAACATAGATTATTTTTACCAGGATTAAAATTGGGTGTATTACAATATGTATTCGTATTATATTTAACTACATTTACTGCTTTAATATTACAATTTTTGGGTATATATTGTAAAGAAAGTTGGAGTATTTATTTTCCTCAAATTCATTTGGTATCGGTGCAAACTATTAGTTCTCTGATCGCTAACTTATGTTTGGTGAGTAATTCTTTCAGTCTTTTTTTTTTTTTTAAAAAAAAATAATACTAAAAAATATTTTTTTTCTTCTTTATTGAGAACTTTTTTTTCCAAGCTGTAAAGGAAGATTTATCAAAATATCAACTTCTCCTAAAAGATATTTGCATAAATTGGGTAAACAAATTGAACGATTTTTTTTTGCGTTTCGTGTATTCTACGGGCCAAATTCAATTTTCGAATTAAAATTAATAATTCCAGGCACTTTTTTTCGTCACGTATCAAGAACACGCGTTAGCTGTAGCCGTATTCGCGGGTATGTAAATTGGAATCATTATTAGAAAGCCGCATCAATTCTTTAACGCGTTTTTCTATAATATAGGAATCATAGAACCAACGGATTATATGTAAGTATTATTATTAATTATAATCACAAAATGTTTGTTAACATAATCTTCTCTCTTTATATTTAAGGACAGCAGATAGCATATCAACATCAACACAATCAGTTTTAGTATCAATAGAATTTTTTTTTATATCCATATTACAATTAAACGCATTTTCAGCTACAGAATATATTTTAATCAGCAAAGATGATAAAGATGAAGAAAGTCATATACCTTATACAGCTCTAGAAGTTTTATTAGATGCATTAAATCCAATCGATACTATAACAGATTTAGTTTATGTAGTTGGATTCATTTTCGTGCATATGTTATTGAGAAGACCTGAACCTGTACAACCTCCTCATAAGATTAGAAGATTATCAAGCGTAAGATCTTCAACTGTTTCTTTGCCTATGAGAAGAACCGAGACGGAATCTGATTTAGTACCAATGATTTCAATCATAGATTTAAGTGATAGTAAATTGAGTGATAGATAATAAAGATGGAATTTTTTGGTAAAGAAAGAGAAGAGAAAGAACGATGCGGAGTCTATATTAAATCATAAAACTTTTTTGCGTATAATATATATTAATAGTAAATTAATTATATAAGTTACATTTCGAAATATAAATAGCATGTCTGAAATGTGTGCCAGGTTGATGGCGCAGTGTGGCGCAGCGATTTTTTCCAAAAAAATTAAATTGCAATTTTTTTTATTTAAAATAAAACCTTTAAATTCCTGCACTAGGTGTATTTTTGTTCACTCTGCAAATTTACTTAGAGCATATACGGGTGGTTTAGAAGGCCATTTTCGAGTTATTCAACAAAAACTGTTCTTTCGACAAATCCAATTTTGGAAATGATCGGCAAAGACGATAAAATCGGTTGTTATATACTAAAGTCAAAATCTACTTCCAAAACCTCCTTCCATTTATAAGTGAATATTGTAAAACAGGTGAAAATACATCTAATGTGTAAATTTGAAAGCTTTACATTAAAAAGAAAATCTTTAACTTAAATCTTTTTTGAAATTACTGCGCCACACTGCGCCGTCAACCTGGCACACATTTCAGACGTGCATATAAATAGAGTAATGACTGATAAAATATAAAATACTTTTAGAAACAAATTCTGAAACGGGACGTTTTTTTCGTGTGAAAATAATGTTCCAATTTTAGCTGTATTTGTTTGGGGCCTCATATTTGTTTTCCACTTTCAGATATTGTGTCGATCATATTTTATGAAAACTGAAAACTAAGGTAATTTTAGATTTGATAAAATCTCAATTTAGTTAACAGAAGTAATCAATCAAGTGAATCAACTACAAATTTGTCATCGTTCACATTGAATTCGTCGGAATCATTTTTGGAATGATTGACATAATTCAGTAGTCGGACGGACCTTTGGACTATTTCTACTATTTTTACTATTTCTTCAGGAAATTTTTTTTTTTATTAATTAACGGAAAAACTCAAACTTATTTAAGTAATTAAGCGCGAAATTTTTATTGGAAAAGTAAGCCTAATCTGATTTTACGATAATTCAGAATTAGAATATAGTTAATAACGTTTTTTAATTTATTTTTTTTTTTGGTATTACGAAAAATTAGTTTACTACCAATAAGTTTTGAAAGATTTTCTTTATGAACTTCACTACAAAATTTCCTAAACAAGAATGTTTGTGTTTATTAATGTTTTTTTTAAAAGCATTGTTGCCACATTTGCATGGTAACTCCCAACGATTATTTGGTTCAAAGTTTTTTTGTTTGTGTCGCGAGAAAAAAAATAATTCCCCCCAAGTTCCAAAACTTGAGATTCTGCATATATTTTTATTTCATCAAGCTTTTTACTCCTCTCGTCATGTATTGAAACTTTGAAAAATCGAGATCTTTAAAAACGATTTTTAACCTTTCATTCTCCAATTTTTTTTTCTTACCACTTTTTTTTTAGATTAACACTTAACGCTGCTAGACTTGCGTATGGTTGCTAATAAAAAAGTTTTTCTTTTTATAAAGAAAAAAAAGTTTCCATACACTCGGACTTCTGGTAGAGACGAGATAAATAAAGCGACATAGACAAAAAAATCTTTCCTCCTTTTTTTTTTTAATCCTTAATAAAAAATTCACACCTCCTTTGTATTTTAAATAAACATAAATAACGATTATACACATACATATTATCACCGTAAAAAGTATACATTACAATATAATATTTAATATAAGTCCATGGCAACGAATACTACTTCCCATCATCTCACACAACCACCGTCTACGATTGGCCACATGAATACTAATGATAGAGTTAGAGATGAATTAACTCCTCCTACTAATTCAAGACAGAGAGGCCCTCCTTCACCTCGAACACAGTCGAAATCTATATTAACAATAGCTCTTCAAAAAGCACAAACAGCTGTGCAATTCGATGCTGCCAATAATGTCGTTGCTGCCCTAGATGCATATAAGCAAACAGTAGAACTTTTAACTCAAGTTATAGATAAAGCTGTTAACGAGGCCGATCGTCGGAGGCTACAATTAATTGTGAGTGCATTAGCTTTTTTTTTTAAACAGATTTATCTCAATTGATTTTTTTTTTCTTTTTTCTTGAATTCATTATTTAACTTTATAATATTATTGAATATTTATTTGAGAGGGTTTAAAATTAGTTAATTGGGAAAGGAACGAATTTTTTATGTGATCGGATAGTGATTTTAGCAAGTTAAAAAAAAATTTATTGATTTTTTTTTTTTTTTAAAAAAAAGCAAATTTCTTCTTAGTTTATTTTTATTTTACCTATTATTATTATTATTATTATTATTATAATTATTATTATTATTATTATTATTCAGTCTTCCTTAGTTTATCGCTGATAAATTGTTTTATATTTAGCACGACACATACGCTGACCGGATACGATTATTATCCACCATAGCCCCAGAATCAGATAGCTCTTTGGATAATTCAACTTCTTCAGAGCAGAATAATGGGAATAATGACGATACTTTGACACAAGTTTCTGAGGATCCAAATGTAAAAGTTGATTCGCTTCATAGAACAGATTCTATTGAACGAAAATCCATACAAAAGAATGATTCTCAAACAGAACATAGTGAAACATCAGAAACATCAGAAAATGAGAACAAATCTAACAAATCTGTAGATAAGAAAATAGACAATTTAAGTAATGATGAAACAAGTCTTACCCGTGAAACTACCCTTGCAAATGATATAGATTGTAGTAGTGATATAAAAGAGAGTATACGTAATGATACTGTGGATTACATGGCACCTCAACCTAAAAGATTGTCAAACTTGTCACAACGTTCATCATCAACTTCCAAATCTTGGATTTCTACAAAATCTTATTATTCTGATAAAACGGCTCCAGTGTCAGTATATGAAATTTCTGTGGACGGTATGAAGTCTATTGTTGATTCCGGAGAATCTACTCCTAGGTCATCAGATTTAGATTCTAGTTCTAGTTCTGAAGATTCCAGCACCATTAATGATTATTTGCAAAATTCTGATTCTTATGATGCTAATCCTGAAAATATTGAAGAGAATTTGATTTATCAAAATCAGGATACTTCTTCACAACAAGAACGAGAAGAAGAAGAACAAAAAACAGAAAAAATTTCAGTAAATACATCACAATTGACACCATCAACAAGAGTTAATAATTCACCTAGCAGTAACCGTGTTTTTGTACCTCCACCCCCTCCAAAAATTGCTCCTCCTAAAACTCCTCCTATTACATCTCCAACTCCAAATATATTAACGGGAAGAAGATCTACTTCACCAACAATTGTACCACCTCCATCTACAGTATCTACAACTAAACGAAATGCACCTCCAATTTCACCAAATGGATCACCATCTGATGAAGATGATGATAAAGCGTCTGTAAAATCTGCTCCTAATGTATTTACACGACCTTCATCACCTCCACCTCAAAGTCCGGTGGAAAAATTGATTGGTAAAGCTTTACCTCACAGTCGTCGTCCTGCTCCTCTTCCATTAGCTCAACAAAGTTATAATTCTCGTGCCATACCTGCTCGTTCCCCTTCTAACCCTAATATTATAATTACTCAAAATAATAATTCTACTACGAGCCCAAGAAGAACAGCTTCAAATCCCGGTAATCATTCTAAAAAAACGAGTTCAGTTCGTTTTTTTAACACTTCACAACAAAATTTATCTCCACAACCATCTTCCCCCTGGATGAACAGTTTTAGTATTATTTCGCCTCCATTAGGTAGTCCAGGATTAGGCCCGCCAACGGGATCATTTCGCAGTGAGATGTCATCAATATCTGCTAGAAGTAATGATGCAAGTTATACATCTTGCTTGTTAAATCCTTTTCCAAATACATCATTTTATGATGAAGACATCATCGGCCTTCCTCATATTTCATCTAATAATGGGTTACCTGAACCTCCACCTAGTGATATTCGTTTAAAACCTTTTTGGTTAATGAGATTATTAGAGCGTACAATGACAACAGGAGGTTATTTAACTCCAAAATTGTTTATTCCTCAATATTTATGGCTACAGGGGCATGTCAAGTTAACCGCTATAGATACTAAAATGTCTAGCTGTGAAGTTGTATCAAATTGTTTGGAAAAACTAGAAAAAATTTCATTCAGTGATTTGGATAAATTATCAAAGGTTTGTTGTTTTTTTAAATACTTTCCATATCTTTGAAAAAAACCTTTTTTAAAGATAATTTTCTTCATTAGGCATTGGAGGGCGTTGATCCTATTTTAGAAGGGCTTCAAAATTCTTTAGCACGTAAATTAAGTTATGTTGAATCAACTAATGGTAAAGCTCGTCAGAGCGCAAGTTCATTGATGAGTTGGGGTTCCAAATTATCCCGTGGTCTTGATCGAATGGGCATGGGAAATGCTATGGTTCGTACTGAAGAAGCTAATGGTTATGTAGACGTTTTATTAAAAGTTTTCCAACATGCTAAAATTGTGGGTGAGTAAAATAAATGGATTCAGCTTTATTTTTTATTTTAAAAAAAAGTATTTTGTTCTTAATCTCTAATTTTATTTATTTATTGATTTAGAAAATTACATAAAACAATATACCTCACTAAAAAAAGCACCACATTTACATCATCATAAGCAAATTATCGTCCGACTATATAAATTTGCAGATTTTCTTGGTAATGTTATTTGTAGATTTGTAGTCAGAGATTTAGGAATATTAGCAGACAAATATCTGAAAAAAGGAAGTCATTGGATTGTAGAGTAAAAAAAAAAGGCCAACAAATATCAATTATAATAAAAGGAAATAAAAGGTCAATTAATTGTTTAAAAAAAAAAATTAATAATAATAATTAATTTAACATTATTATATTAGTCGATGGTTTTTATAAGAAACGAAACAACAATTTTTTTTCTTTTGTTTATTTATATATTATATTATTTTATTTTGTATTTTTATTTTATTTTTTTTTTCTTTTCTAATAGTTTTTTGAGTCTTCTTTACATATTTATTTATTATTTATTTATTACGATAACGAAAATTGACATACCGTTCCATTTTTAATTTAGAGGAACTCAATTAACTAATACCTTTTTTTTGTATAGATTTTTATTTGTTTATATATATATATTAGGCACAATTTTGGTTTTTTTTTGGTTTTTTTTTGGTTACGTTTTTTCAAAAAAAAAAAAGAAACCAATGCTGCTCATTTTATTTTAAACCTAAATTGTTTTTAACATAATTATTTTGTATTTTTTGTTTTTATTATTTATTTATTTTTCCTCCTTATTTAATTTCTTGTTATATAGTACAATTCAAATAAGCACATCATGGTTTTTTATTTCACTTCATTTTAGTTTTTGTAGTTTTTAATAACGTATATATATATATTATATTAAAAAAAAAAAATTAATAATAATTTTTATTTATTAAAAATAATGATCATCTATAATTTTTTTTTCTAAAAAAGATGAGATGATAATATTGATCCTTTATCACAAAAAAAAAGGAATCAATTAATCATCTTAAAATGATAATTTTTTTTCCATCTTTTCTTTGATCTCCTTTTGACTGAAACTTTTTTCCTTAGGCAACATCTCCTTTGTATGAATGATTTTAAAAGATGCCACAATTTTATGTTGCACACATTAAATCGATTACTGAACTTCTAAATTATATTATACATTGTTCTTGGGAGGAATAATAATAAAATTTTCATGCTATCAAAGCGAAACAAACCTTTAAAAGCAAATTCGATAGGTAACATATCGTCCACTAGTTTCACTGGGTCTCATGATCTTAAAAACCTAATATAAACCAATAAACCAGAATTCTTATTAAATTCAAAGAATATTATACAAAATCAATATTTATCAAAAAACATACCTGTCCCCTTTTTAAACCGTAATATTTTGCGATCGGATCTGTTGCTTGTACGCGAGGAAGTTGGGTTTCCTTCAATCGACTGATGATCAAACATCACGTAAAATTATTGTTAGTTAAAAGAAACAAAATCGATCACATGAACACACATATGGACACTTTAAATTCATATTCACTATTTAGCAAGTAAAGTCTTTTTTTCTTCATCGGAAAGAACATAATGTTTGGGCACAAGTTGATGCGATGTGATATTAATCATCAAATCTGCTTCCGAGAAAGTATCAACTTCATAGTGTCTATTTTCTCTTGTGTTTATAACTTGTATCGCCTATATAATAAATAAACAAAACAGATAAGCAAAAGGTAAATCAGCTGTTAATTAAGATTATCAAGTATAAAAATCTGTATATTTATTACCTTATTAGCTGCTGCAGTTAGAGTACCAGGGAATACAATGATGCCGCGGTTAACTTTTGAGTCCACCATCCGTTGGCATAAACTTTATTACAGTATTACGTAACAAACACGTTTAAGTGACATAACATTACCGGGATTTCTTAAAAAAAATTAAAAAAAACTTACATTTTAAGGTACTTTACACCAACGGGCTTTTCATCGGGAAATGTCACAAGTAATTGCTCATTAGGGTTATCATTCTTTTGGACTTGAAACATCATCGATTCTTTACTATATTAGTTAAAAGTGATTTAAATGGATTAATTTGTTTAGATTAAGTTAGATTTTCCTTCGGTTCGGAATTTTCTAAAAAGAATATCTCTCAGATTAGTTAATGAAAAAAACATACACAATTAAACCATCCTTCATGCAGCGTTCACGAAATAGGTTCATATCAGTATGTGTATCATGATTAATGACGTAACCCTTATAAAGAAAGAAAGAGAGAAATTATTTATGAATTGAATGTGTGTGAAGTAAAAAAAATAATTTCGGGAACATTTAATTAAATATACCCGATCTTTAACCATTTCGTGTACTGTACGGTACACACGGAATAAGCGGGCTATCTCCGACTCAGAAGTACTAGGGTCTTTCTGATCTCTATCCATTTTTTCTTGTGGGAGAACAAGTAAAAGTGATGTTTGTAAAATTAAATCTAGTATCAATTAGATATACAACAACTGCATAAATCATAAATTTTGATTGGGGGTTGATGCAATTTATTAACTAATGTAGTACTTATGTAGTACAAATTCGCCCTCAATAATTTGGTTACTCTCTTTTTTTCCGATCTTGGTTTTTCTTTAAATACCTATCGGAGTTATTTATTATTATTTATATTCTTGAGAAACGGTAAATTTTACTTTTTCGTTTGCATTAGTTGAAAAATTGCTTTTTTTTTTTGGTTTTTTTTTTGAAATTGAACGTAAAACAAACAGTAAAAAAAAGTGTTAATAGTAATATTTTATATAGTATTTTAATTTTTTTTTTTTAGCTTTAAGAAAATTTATGCATTGTAATTAAACGCGTAACATTAATATTGTGCAATTTATCACTGCAAATTATAGTTCTAAATAATAATTGTAATGACCCCTCGCGAAAATCAAGAAAACGAGCCTCTTCTTGAAGAAGAGTCTCGTGGAAACAAACCATTTAAATATTCACCCGAGGAACTCGGTCAACTGATAGATCCTAAAAGTCCAGATTTGCTTAGGGAATATGGAGGTACGGAAGCAATTGTTAAAAGTTTAAGAGTCGACCCTGCCGTCGGTATTAGCTCTGATGAAGGATTGGATACTGATAACCCGAAGAGCAAACCTTTTCAAACAAGACGAGAATATTATGGTAGAAACGTAAGTTTGTTTAAATCTAATCATTGAGATATATGTCTCTTAATTGACATGAATTTTTTTTATTATAGATACTACCGGAAGTTAAACCACGATCTTTGTTATCATTAATTTGGGAAGCATATCAGGATAAGATTTTAAGTATGTTCAATGAATTTAAAACACATTTACAAATTGCTAGATATCCCATATAGTAGATCGAAAAATTTGCCACATGTCTAAGCCACAATTCAAGCCACAAAAGTATCGGCCACATATACGAGCCCAACAAGTAATAAGTAAAAAAAGGAAGTTCATAAATTCATTGAATTAAAATGAACTGGGCCTCTTTTTTTAAAGATTAGAGATAATTCTTCCTGAACTTGATTAGTTTGAGTTACCAATGCTTTAATGATGCTAGAGATGAAATTCTGGCTGATCTTTATTGTTCTAAATTAAATCTTAAAAAAATGAAGTCTTTTTAAGACTTAATTACTTAGGATATATTAGTTTTTGCCTTATTGTTAAATGTATCTATTATATAAAAATGCACGTGAATAATTTTATCACTATATTTTTCATCATAATAGTTTTGTTGAGTATTGCAGCTCTCGTGTCTTTGGCTGTTGGTATCCATGAAGATTATTCTTCCCGTCATCCTGAAGGCGAACCTCGTATTGGATGGGTTGATGGTAATTTAATTATCAAATATATCATTTTCAATAGAGAAACGATATTAATCATAAATTTATCAATGAATAGGTACTGCCATCATTGTCGCTGTTGCTGCAGTGGTATTAACGAATGCTATTAATGATTATCAGAAGGAAAAACAATTCAGAAAACTTAACGCTAAGAAGGAAGATCGTGTTGTTAAGCTTATCCGTTCCGGTAATGAACAGCAAATCTCTGTTCATGAAATTAATGTTGGCGATATTCTGGTAAGAGAATATTAGTTCACTTATGAGTAAAATTTGAGTTAACGCGTTTTTATTAATAGTTTCTCGAACCTGGTGATATTGTACCCGTCGACGGTATATTTTTGTGGGGACACAATATTGTTTGTGATGAATCAAGCGCAACGGGTGAATCTGACCCAATTAAAAAAGGGGAATTAGAAAAAAATTTAGACCCATTTATTTTGAGTGGTTCCAAAATTCTCGATGGTAACGGTAGATGTGTCGTTATTGCTGTTGGTAAATATTCTAGATTTTAATTTTTTATAAACATATTGCGTATGTCGAAAATATTAATATTTCCTCCATTTAGGACCTAACTCGTTCTTTGGTAAAACTATGATGGTAAATAAAGAGTTTGATTAATTTATTATTGAGATTCTCGTTACTAATACTTAATTTCCTATTTTAGGCACTTCGTGATGATGAAAGCGAAGATACCCCTCTTCAAATAAAATTGGATTTATTGGCCGAACAAATCGCCAAATTGGGTGTTTCTGTTGCTTTAATCATGTTAATGTATGTAGTAAAGTTCGACCTATCTATTATTTATTACTTTTATAACGTTCAAACCGATCTTATTTGCTTTTTTTAGTACTCTTGTTATTAAATATTTCGTTACTGCTGCGATTTCTGATAATTTCCCTGATGGTGAAGAAATTGCATCACACATGATTTCAATAGTTATTCAAGCCATTACCATTGTTGTCGTAGCTGTACCCGAGGGCGTAAGTAATTAATATCACTTAATTTGATCGAATAGTTTTTCTTTTGCAAAACTTAACATGATTTTTCTTTTCCTAGTTACCAATGGCTGTTACACTTTCTCTTGCTTATGCCACGACTAAAATGTTGAAGGATAATAATTTGGTTAGAGTTTTGTCTGCTTGGTAAGTATTTATTTAAACTTAGAATTTTGGTACAACTTAAAGTTATTTATTAATATATAAATCGTCTTAAAAGTGAAACCATGGGTAACGCTACTGCTGTATGCTCAGACAAAACTGGTACCTTGACCCAAAACAGAATGACCGTAGTTAAAGGGCTTATCGGTTTTAAGAAATTTGATGATGAAGGAAAAACTGATGAATGGAAGAAAAGTGTCGCTTCTTCAACCTACGATGTTCTTGTTCAAGGAATAGTTTTAAATTCTACTGCTTATGAAGATAAAGATGAAAATGGAAACATAGATTTTGTTGGTTCCAAGACCGAGTGTGCCTTACTCATTTTCACCAAGTCATTTGGTGTAGATTACAAAGAAATTAGAGCTGCTATCAAACCTGTTAAAGTTTATCCATTTGCATCTGAAAGGAAAACTATGACTACTGTTATTAAATTATCTTCGGCTGGTCCTTCCCACGGAAAAGCACCTGCTACTGGTGATTATCGCGTCCATGTAAAGGGAGCTTCCGAAATTGTCTTGGGACATTGCACTCATTATGTTGATGCCGAAGGCAAGGTTCAAGAATTGGATAATAACATTAGACAACAGTATAAATTGGAAATTGTAGAATTTACTACTAAAGCTTTACGTACAATTTGTTTGGCTTATCGTGATATAACAACTCATGATTTTAATAAGTTAGGTGATGATCCACCACTCAATGAATTAATTTTATTAGGCCTTGTTGGTATTCAAGATCCATTACGACCTAGTGTAAAAGAATCCGTAGAAGCTTTTAAAAAAGCGGGTGTTTTTGTAAGAATGATTACAGGTGATAACATTGTGACAGCCAGAGCTATCGCTCAAGACGCTGGTATTCTTACCAAAGGTGGTATATCTATGGAAGGACCAGAATTTCGTAAATTAACTCCTAAAGAACTAGATGAGACTGTGCCAAGATTACAAGTACTTGCTCGTTCTTCTCCAACCGATAAAACTAAAGTCGTAAAGTGGTTGAAGAATAATGGTGACGTTGTTGCAGTTACTGGTGATGGTACTAACGATGGACCTGCATTAAAATTGGCTGATGTTGGTTTTAGTATGGGTATAGCTGGAACTGAAGTAGCTAAGGAAGCTTCTTCGATTATTTTAATGGATGATAATTTCAGTTCTATTGTTAAAGCTTTGAAATGGGGTAGAGCTGTCAATGACAGTGTTCGTAAGTTCTTACAATTCCAACTTACTGTCAACATTACGGCTGTCGTATTATCATTTACCAGTGCGGTTATGAGTGACGAAAGTGAATCCATTTTAACTGCCGTACAATTACTTTGGGTTAATCTTATTATGGATACTTTAGCAGCTTTGGCTTTGGCAACTGAACCACCTACTGATGAACTCCTTAATAGACGCCCTACATCAAAGAATGCTTCACTTATCAATTATAGGATATGGAAAATGATTATTGGTCAATCAATTTTCCAAATTGCTATTAATTTGTCTTTATTACACTTGGGACCTTCTATATTCCATCTTTCGGACTCTAAAGAAGATTTAGCAGTTTTACGTACATTGGTCTTTAATACTTTTGTATTTTTGCAAGTATTCAACGAAATTAATTGTCTTAGAATTGATGATAGCTTGAATGTTTTCAAAAATGTTTTCAATAATCACACCTTTATTATAGTCCAATTAATTGTAATAATTGGTCAATTCGTTATTGTTGAATTTGGTGGTGTAGCATTTGGTACAGTTAGATTAAATGGGTATCAATGGTTGGTAACTGTATTAATTGGATTCCTTTCTTTACCTGTTGGTCTTTGTATCCGATTAATACCAAATGCTTGTATACCCGAAAGTATCTTGAACGAAGATCACAAACCAATTATTAGTCAATCGAAGATGCGTTTGGAATCTGCTATTGGGGAAATAAGAACCGAGAATAAGATCATCTCAGCTTTAAAAGGTAATTTAGTTAATAAAGATAAGAAACCGAAGAAACCAAGAAAGTTCAATGAATTTATAAGACGACCACTCCATAAGAAGACCGGTTAATAAGAAATAATTTATTGTATAGTTCTTTCTTTATATATTTTATATATTTATGTATGTATGTAATTAAATTTGATAGTTTATTCCATAGCATTAATATTTAACTCTATATATTATGCGTGTTTATTTTTATTTTTTATCTAAATGATTTAAATAATACATTGATTTATATTTTATTCATTTTATTTCATTTATTTTTTTTTTTGGAATTGGACATAACATTGTCCCGTTGTATGAATAAATTTTAATTCTATTTTTGTTGTTTAATGTAAAATATCTGAACTTCTTGGATATTCGCAGTACCTATCTCCCACATGTGTAACTTGAAAGACACCTATATATTGTAATTCATAAAAATTAGTTGATTCAATATATTATAAAGAACATGTTATAATCTTACCTTCTTGTGAAGTATAAATCGAATGTTTGTGTTTATTAATATTAAGTATTGTTTGCGTTTCAAGAATACGGCCTGACTTTCGTTTTTTGCCATCTTTCAATAATTCTTTCCTTACGTACGTAAATCGGAAAGGCGGGTTACCTATAATATATATTTACATAAAAGTTAGATAAATGCGTAGTATGCTACTTTATTATCATAGTGCAGCTCACCAAGAAAGTCTATTATAATTTCAGTTTTATCGCCTTCTCTGATATCAGATATAACTTCCTTGCCTTCAGAAACAAAAGCAGAAGGAAGATCATAAATAATCTCTGTAAGATTCGCAACAAACCCGCAGCACTTATTGCGTTGATGGCAAATGTTAGTTATAGTCATATTTCCAGGTTTGTCTGCGCCAAAAGCAAATGTATTCGTCCTTGATATTGCAAATTTTACTTCTCCATTGTATTCATAAGTAATATTCAATGGTAATATACCTTCAACAAAATAAAAGGTCAAGTTTAGAAAAACAAGATTAAATAGATGAAAATTAAAATAGTAAACTTTACCTTGCAAGGAGTAATCCAAAATATCACCAACACAATGAAATTGTTGATGAAATGTGCGGTCAATCGATGCAACATCAGTCACCTGAACAATGAGTGTTTTATCGGGACCTTCTAAACTTCTACTACATCCTTGTGAATCAGAAATATAGACAATAGATATTGTATATTGTCCGACCAAACTAAACTTCTCTTTTGGTTGGAAATAATAAAGCGTATTATTGATCGATTCCATTCTCAATGTTTCCACGTGATTACTGCTTTCATGCATAACCTCAAACACCAAAGAGAATGGAGGAACGCCATCCATTTCTATCATTATCGAATCATCTCTTGTGAACGCGGTGCCAACGCAATGATAGACAATATCTCTATTGACAAATCGGGCACTCGGATTCGAAAGAACGGCCTGTTCAAGGATTAACAACATCTCATTTTGTTCTGTATAAACATCATCCGCTATACTAGAAAAATTATAAATATGTAATCCAGGATTTTCAGTCATAAGTCGAATTCTTGTCGATGGAAATCCTATGGTCTGCTGATGAACGATAGTTTCCCGGTTTGAGATTATTTTATAATTGATAACCCATGGAGCCCTTCCTTGAAGAACTAAACCCAACGTATCTTCTTTTCCAGCACAAATACTATTTCGTTTAAAATATCCTGTTTGCGGTAAAGGTTCGGCTTCACCCTCGGCAATTCTCAAAAATGGCTTTGGCAACCATTTAGCTTCGATTTCTTTCTTTTCGGGAATAACTATACCAAGACAATAAGAATCTTTGACTTCTAATAATTCGTAACGGCCTGGTTCAGTTACAGTTAAAATTGAGTTCGGATTGACCAAATCATAAGCCTTTCTGACGTTATCCATATCTAAGTGATAAATATATGTGACATCCCAACGTGGATTCCCAGTAAGTTGTAGTGGCAATTCAACACTTCCACCTTCAAGAAACCAAAGAATTTCATGGGAATTTCTAAATCCAACAGTTGGCTTATCCCTCTTGACATTTATAGTAACAGAATCATCATTATTTAAGATCTGGCTACAGCCTTGAGAATCAACAATTCTTTTCAAAGTTACAGTATACGTTCCAGGATTATCAAATGGTGGTGAAATTATCACATAACTAGGACTTTGAATATCAGCGATAGTAAAGGCATTTGTTCTTCGATTGAACATAACTTCATATCTGATACATTGCAAAAAATTAATTAAAATCATTGTGAAATCAAAAAATAGTAATAATAATTGAAACTAGTTATAAGTCAGAAACTATACTTACTCCAAAGTAAAAGGACCGGATCCACTTAAATCTACGTCCAGTTCAACTAGATTACTCATACAACTATTTATTGTTCGATCTTTTGTACGTCGGAAAATGGCATTGGGTTTTGGATAAACAGTTTGAGTAAACCCATAATTAATTTCAACTCCTTCACGATATATATTATCCGACAAACTAAAAAATGTGTATTCATAATGTCCTGGTATCGGTGGCTTTATAGTTATTACACGTTTAGATTTTTCGCTCATTACTATTTCATCTACTTTTTCAATTTCAGATTTGATTGAATATTCAAGAAACCTATTAAGAAAAAAGATTTGTTCGAAATTAAGTATGTGAAAATATACATTAATTAAATTCATATAAATTCTTAACTTACCATCTCGGAATTCCAGTAAAAGATAAAGTAGCCTCAATACCGATTTCCCCTGGACAATCTTCGGCAGATATAGGAATGGCATCGATCTTAACAGTAGGAGGATAAGCAATTGATAAGATGTTTGTAGATGGGGCCAAAATCTGTCCTGAGCATTTTGCATCTGAAACCGATAATAATTTATATGTACCAGGTTTTTTCACGGTTATAGAATACCCCATTTTATTTTCATTTTCTTTTATTGTCACATTAAGCATTTCAGTTGGCTCACTCGATAAAGTATCTGTTAATTCAGCAATGTCTTCAGACCAATATCCTAAACCAAGTTTCCAAGGAGCTAATAAAAAAAGCAATTAATAAAATCATATATTACAACTTACACGAATAATTACTAAAATGACTTTCTAATACAAACCTACACCTTGTAAATTTAATTTCATTTCCGCAGGATAACCCGGACGAGTATATATAGGTATATCCGAAGAAAATTTTGCGGTTGGACGTGAAAATACATCATACTTTACAAAAACATTTTGATTTCGTTTAATAATGTAATTATGGGTGTTGTTTAATAAATCATTAATCTCAAGAACCCTTAAAGAATATGTTGCGGGTATATCAGCAGTCATATTCAATTGTACTTCTATCTCTTGATTTTGAGCCCATTGATAATTGTCAGAAGCAAAAAATAACTTTGCTCGATCAGGTTCATCTATAGGGAATTTAAAATGTTCTGAACCAATTCCATCTATTGTCATATTAACGGATTCATTATCAACACGTCTTTCATAATATACACTTAAGGGCGGTACACCCTTCAAGACTAACTTGGTATGTATCTCATCATTAATACAACATTTCGTATCAGTAATAGATATTAATTTTGCTTCAGGGCAATAAACTATAATCTCTTCTTTCTTATAAATTTTAATTCCCATCCCATCTGCATCCAAAGCTTGTTCAATTTTATAAACTCCTGGCTCAGTTACGGGAATATACACAAAAACACCATCTTGGATCACGTCAACTAAATGATTTCTAGCAATATCTCTTGAAGTAAATTCGTGATGAGTCTTATTTCCTGATACAAAATTTACTCTTGAATAATGAATTGATTTTGGAGACGTTTTATTGAATAATACAGGTAATCCGATCGGGTCACTTTTTCTTGAATCCATCCTTGTAAGACAAAATCTTTCATCATCTGGATTCAACTTTGCAGTAGCATATGGTAAAAGTCGGACCGTATGTTTCCCCTTTATGTGGGAACTATTGTGTCTAATATCTATATTTAATAGTATATTAATAAATATTAACAATATCTTTGATTGGCTCGAATAATCAAATAATCAAACCTTCTATTTGTATTTCTTCTTCAGTACTGACGGCACGTACTTTCTCACCGCGTAATTTGAGAAATTGCTGTCGAACTCCATTGACATAAGAAATATGCAAAAGAAATATAATGCTATTAAGGTTAGGTATGATAATGCACTTATTGTCTGATTAACTGGAACAAATAGTTCAAAATGTTCAATTATAAACTTTTGACTTACTAAGTATTGAAGAGGAACTAAACATTTCGATTATTGATTTTGTGATACCAACATCGTAAACCTACGTAACAAAATGAGTTTGTTAGGAAGCGCTGATTATAAAAAGTTTTAACGCGTATTGTTTAAAATTTTTAAAACTTACCCAATTCGGATTTATAATGAAAGCATTTATTGTACAGGACAGTGTGATATAGAGCAATATTTTCCATAAAGGGAATTGCAACCAAGGTATTCGACAAAGATATAACAAAGTGAAAAACGCGATGTCTAGCATACACCAAATAATAAAACTTCCAGGTATCCCAGTTGTAAAATAATATAATTTATATGCCCATATTGCAACAAATATAGCTGTAGCTACAAGTCTCTGTGTAGGTACAGAAAAAAGATTTGTTGAAATACGAGAAGGTTCTTGTAATAAAGGATTTTGAGGTGGTAACGCGACTTGGCGTGCTGACATTCTAACTATTCTGTGTCGTGTCTTTTAGAAATCCACTTTTTTTTTAAACTTGATAATCTGTTACACGGTAATCTTTAGAACCTGCATTAGGTGACTTGCATTTAGTCTTGCATCACAATTTGGCATATCATGATTTGTTATAATATATTATATTTCCTTGATATAAAGTTAAGCGAATCACATTATTACTAGAAATCTTATACCTAAATTTATATAAAAAATTTTATTCTTTATAAAATATTAAAATATTTTACTTCAAGTAAACTTTAATTTTCTTTTATTCATTAAGGTAAAGTAAACTTTTATTATAAAAAAAAACCAACAGATAGAAATTTAAAATAAATCAAAAAGTTTTATTATAATAAAAACATTTTTAAAGATTTTATAAATTAATTAATTAAAAAATATGGTTTATTAAAATAAATTGTTATTTAAATATTATTATTTAAGAATTATTTATAATTACTATTATACTTTAAATATAATGCTTAAATATTTTACATTAAAGATAAATTTATTAAAAATACAGAATAATTTTATTTTTTATTGATAATTATTTAGATATAATATTAGTATAACAATTAGTTTTTATAGTAATACTTCTATAAGTGCATTCTTTATAAATATATGTATTATATAAATTCTTTTTAAGTGTATTCTTTATAAATGTATGCATTATATAAATCCCTTTTAAATGTATAATAAGTTTTAATTCCAACTTATAAGAATTTTTAATATTTTACTTTTTATAAATGCATACTTTTTCTATCTATTTTTTTACTATAATTTCAAGAAAAATGCATTTAAAAAGATATTACTATATTTATAAACTTAAATATTTAAAGTATTTTTATTTAAAAACTTTTATATATTTATAAAATAAAATAGCAGATTTAAATTATTTTTCAAATAATTATTAATAAATAAATACTTTAATATTATATATATAATGTATTTTATAAAATTTCAAAATATTACCAATTTGTTACATTTAATCTTTACTTTATACATATTATAAATAGTTAAATTAAAATAGTTAAATTCTATGATGAATAAAAGTAACAAATAAAATTTTTAATAATAAAAAATTTCTAAATTTTCAGATTAATTAACAAAAATAAAAACCATAAAAAGTGTAATTAAATTTAACCCTTAACCTAACTATAACCTAACCCTAATATTAACCCTTAACTCTAATAAATATTAAAGAAAACCCTCCAGTTAAATATAGTTATTTTTTTAAAAAAATATAAATTTAATATTTTAAATGAAATTAATTATAAAAAAAAAACTTATAGTAAAAGTAATAATAATATAATAAACTTAATTTTAATATTAACAAATATAAAAAAGAGTAATTTATATAAAAATAAATTATACATTTTTAATAAATATATTATTTTCTATTAAAATATAATATTACTCTTCTAGCCAAAGTTCTTTACTGATAGTATACACATAAAGAAGTACAGATGGTTTAAAGCTTACTTAATTAGGATTTTTAATTTGTTAATACATGTATTATATTTTCTTTTTTGTGTTTTTAATAAAGTTCTAAATGTGCTGCAGAAAAAAAATATATATAATATAAAAGTATGTATAAGACTAATTTTAACCCTGGGTGATTTTAACCTGGGTGATTTAACCTATTAGTAAATTTTATTTAATTATATAATTTTGCCCAAATTTTCAAAAAAAAATGTAAATTATGGTCACAATCAAAAACAAGAGACATTATTAAGAATGTAAAAAACTTGGTCATTATACATTTATACTCTATATTTTATAATGTTCAAACTTCAAATTAATAAAATTTATATAAAGTAAAATGAATAATAACACAAATAATTTTTTTTTTTTTTTATTGATATAAAATATAAATTTTAAGGGGGTGATTTAACCCAGGTTATTTAACCCAGGGGCAAGTTAGCAAACTCTAAAAGTATATATAGTTTATCTTACCAGTTATCAGTATTTATAATATAATACAAATTTGTAAATTTATTGATAAATTTTTTAGCAAATATATATGATGATTACAATATTATAATATCCTGCCCATTGTATATTATATTTTAAAGCAAATAAAAAAAAACAAGCAATACCATTAATATCATTTAAGAATCTCATTTTCAAAAATGTATGTTTTCTAAATCATATCAATGCCACTTTTAAGATAAAGTACCAAACTTTTCTTTTCTTTAAAATTTTGATTTTGACGATGAAAAGAGGCTAATTTGAAATTTTTCCAACTTTCTTCATTAAAAATATGAATTACTTCAGGTTCATCTAATAAATATCTAAATGGTAAATTAATATTTGGTGAATTAAATTTTTTTTGAACTATAAATAAAAACTCTTGAAGAGTTGTTTCTTCCATTATAAATAGATAACGTTGACATCTATTATAATTGACAATTACTTCAAACTATAAAAAATGAACAAGTTAATAAAATATTCTGAAAGTCTAAAATCATAATAATACTGCATTTTTCACAGATGCCACCTATTAAAATTTAAGATTTACTTTTGTTTCTTTCCATTGAAGAATTGGTGAAATTGGAGGTTTTGAAGTGTTCTTCATTTTCCTAAATTATAATAAAATTTAATAAGAATAGCCATATGTGACTAATTGGACTTTGAAATATACAATTAATTACCTAAATTCTTGTCCAAAAACATTTACTGCATCTTTTACATTAGCACTGTTTTCCAAAAATAGTTTAATATATCCTACTTTTCGCAATTCTCCTCCAGTTGGATCAATCTTAATTTTTATTTCTTCTAAAGTATTAATCTCTCTCACCTAAAAAAAAAATCATTCACTTTTATATTTTTTTATACAAAATTTCAAATTATAATTTAACGTACTGGTAATAAATATTTGATCCAATCGTGAACCAAATTCAATTGGATAACGTTTTGTTGTTTGTTCCCATCATAATTTTGAATTCCTTTAACATGGAAATCAATCCTATCCAAAATATTTCCAGCTTGTAATTCAATACAAATAGAATTTGTACTTGAATTAAGAGTGAGCGATCCTGGATTCAAATTATTATAATTTCCAATAATAATTTCTTTTAATTTTATAGACATATCAATTTTTGACAAATTATTTTTCGGAATAAAACCATTATTTTTCGGAATAAAATCATTAGAACCATTTTCTTTGAACGTAATAGAATTATTACAAAGAACAAGATCATTGTTAAAATCTTGATCAAAATCGTTATTATTGTTGTTGTTTAAAGAATTATTGTTGATTTCTTTACTCTTCAAATTTAAAGATAATCTCTTTCTTTTATTAGGACTTGAATTATCAGATTTCTCATTCTCACGCTTATTAAATGAAAAAGAAAATTTTATGGATTTTTCGCTTGTGAATCTTGAATGAAAAGATTCATCATCACTATCTTCAAAACACTAGTATATATATATGTGTGTTTGGATTAGTTTGTGGGATTAATATGTGAATAATTTAATAGTTTATTACGACTTACTTTGGAACTATCCATATTTTTAAAAATTTTAATATGATAAAATTATGAAGTAAAAAATTCAAAAATTTACGTTTTATTTTTAAATTATTTGTTCAATAAACTTACTATTTATGAATACTTTATACGTTTATATATTATTCATTTGAAATGTACACGTCTTTATAATTTTGATCTTACTTCAGAATATTATGCATTTTGATCAATACTTAAAGCTCGGTCTAACATTTTATTTAAATTTATGTCTAGAAACTTCCGTGAGTCTGGTAAAATAAAATGAAGTTTAGTTTGTAATATTGTCAGCCCAATTTTTTTTCCCATTATGCTTCCGTTTTATTTACTGTCATACCAATGAGAATAAATCTATTTTAAATGGGTCCTTATACTTTTCATCTTTAAGGCTTATATAATTTTATCATTTGGATGTTAACATACGATTAATAATCTTATGTAATCGGATATTCAAACCAATCAATTTTAAGTCAAACCAATTTAAAATCGACCAATTAAATATTACCATTTTGAACAGGATTTTTTTAATTTTTATTAAATCAAATATTTTTGATTGTTCTCAATCAAATTCTTTTAAAATGTAATTTTTTACGATTTACGATTTGAAAAAAGAAGGACTAAGATATTTTAACAAGGTTTCATTAAAAATTATATTATTATAATTATAAATATTGTACATTTAATATTTTCATTCTTGTTCGTAATTAATTTATATTAATAGTTACTAAAATCTGTCCAGCAGTAGTAACATTCCAGCAGTAGTAACATTCAAAGTATATTGACAATTCACAATAAATCTTTTTGATTTACAACCACAGTAATAATAGGAACATCTTTTTGTTTATCAACATCACAAAAACAAATTTCATTTGAAGATGTTTTATATTTGCATAAATTTCCTTCTTTCTTTCTTTCTTCTCCAATTGTATTATTACTTTTCATAAATACAAATGATTTAGCAACACCACCTAAATTAAGCATTACAACGGTCAATACATAAACCCAAGTTTGCATTTGATTCATCAAAATACATAATGAATAAATAATTATAGGTGTATATTGTAACATTTGTAAAAAAATATAACTTGACATCTTTCGAGTGGCTTTTGTTATATTTTTTAATGTACGTTCCTGTGCTGCAGTAGGGGCAGTTATAGGACCATAAAAGAAACTTGGTGGTCTTATTTCCAGACCATCTATTATAGTAGTAGAAAAATGGTCCGATGTTGGTGAAAGTAATTGAGTCTTGAATGAATAAAATTTCGATTTATATCTTTCATTCTTGGTGTATGAGTCAGCAAACATGGTTTCAGCATTATGAATTCGTTTTATTACACTCATGTAACAAAATGATGTCATTATTGTTACAACATACGAAAATACTATGAGAGCGATCAAATTCACTCGACTACCAGTTTCTTCTTGATTAATAAAACACCTAATTTGTTTTTAAAAAAATTAGAAATTAAATTTACTGCGGTGCGTGCGTGGCGCAGATCAAAGTAATAATAAACTTACCAAAAAGTGTCAGGACCGAATCCGTTCAAATACCAAGTTACGAAAGAAATCGTTAAAGTTGGAAAAAGAATCAACGAAAATAAAATCCAATCCTTCTTTCCAAGATTCATAACGTAACGTTTACAAATTCTTAAATAAGTTATTAAAGCCAATGAAGCCATCAACATCATATTCATTACAATAAATAATGAAGTAATAAAACCCAATGAAGTACACCAATTTCCAATCATTAAAGAATCTTTTTGCATTGGAAAGAATAAATTTGGTAAAGTTACTATAGAAGTTCCAAAATCCATTATAGCCATATAAAGAGGAAATCTTTTTGATGGAGTGAGAATTTCAGATTTATATTGAATCTTATTTAACGTTGAATAGATCACTATAAAAGATCCCATCATGTTTGCAAAAGAAGTTATGATGCCTGCTACATAAAATATTGCACTACCTGTTGGATCTAATTTATAAATACTTTTATACGTTTCAGAATCTGATATTTGAGGTATTCTTTTGGTTAATCGTGAATCATTTGATGATATTATTGCTCCTTCAGAAGTTAATATCATTAAAGCGAAAAAAGTTATGTAAAGTAATCTTAATGATATCATTATTATTATTTTTACATTAATATGAGTATTATGAATTTTACAAGATTTATATTTGGGAACGAAAGGAATGAATAGAATGAAAAGAATATATAATATATACAAAAATAAATAAAAATAATTTGAATTTCAAATTCGTTAAAAATAAATGAAAGAATAGAAGTAAAATTAGGAGCGAGTAACGAAGAAAAGAACAGAGGATTTAAAAAAAAAAAGTTTCGAAGACATTTATCTTCACAACATTGTAGCGTGCAAGTGTTATGACCAATACACGATAATGATTAATAATTACAAGAATTAGAGTAAATATTTACCAAAGTTCTTGTCGGTCTTTGCCGTAAAAACACCAATCAAATAAAATCCGATCGAAATTTACAATTATATTAACCGTCTCAATTTCGTTGTACACGGAAGTTAACTCATTATAATATATATATACAGTACAATGTATCACTTTAAACAAATAATCTTAATCGTCCCACAAACTGAAAAGTTAAATTACATTGTTTACGTCTTTTTATTTTTAGATTCTGATTCTTAAAAACGTTTCAAAATTCGTTAAAAAGAATTAATTCGCGCGCGGAAAAATTCCTATTTTTCCTTCAAAAATACGGGGTATTTGATGTACGACAACTACGACATCATCATATATTATTGGAGTGAATTAAACTTTTGGCACACTAAAGATATGCAAATATCATTTATTTATTATTGTATATCTGTTAAATCTGTACATAATTTAAAATATTTACTTATTCCATGTCTCATGCCCATGTTTATATGAAAATGTTAATTGGATTATATTTTAATTTAAGTAATCAATAAATATTAAAAAAAAAAAAAATACAAATAAAAAAAATAAAAAAGGGGTTAAACCAAAAAAAGAAAGAAGCCCACTATAGAAATATCTCGTCAAATTATTCGTTATATTTATTTTTTTGGAGCCAACAAAACAAACACCAAAAATGCTCTGCATAAACCAAATATTCCTATTGAAGAGGCTAAGAAATGAGAATCCGTTGAATGGTTCTCATTTAAATTATTATCATATGAATTGAATCTTATACTTTGTTTTTGATTTATGAAGAAAGAATTTAATAAATTATGAGGTGTATTGAAATTTGTTAAATTTGTTTCATTAATATCATTTATAGAATAGGTTTGTTTAATAGGAATATTTAAAATGATGTTTGTATTTGTGGACATTTTTTTTATTAATTACACTTTAGTAATAATATCTCTTGATATTAAAGAGAGTAGTAGTATATATTTAAAAGATATGTGAAAAAAAGATTTAAAGAAAAAAATTACATACATACTTTTACAATTCAACAACTTATAAACAAATTTTCCATTCAATAATCTAGGCACAATATTCTTTTTCCATTCTTTTCCTTCATTTCTCCTATGGGGCTGTGTGGCACGGTGAAAATTATTGTTTATCCAAGTAAACAATACGTTTCAACCTTAATCTGCATAAATATTGTAAAGGACAAAAGTTAATATGTCATGTGAATTTTAAGAATTCTTTAAATATTCATTGTTACCATAATCACAAAGTCATGAAAAATATAGAGAAAAGGAAAATAAAAAGGTCTTTAAGGATTCTTTGATTTTTCATTATACTCATTATAATATATATTCCTGCCAGGCGGTGCCCAGCCGTTTTATGTGACGGGTATCGGATATATCCAGATAAGGTATAGAAGAAATCTATTGATGATCAAATCACACCAAAGAACTTGAAAGAACTTGTATAAATGCTATGATAACTTGTTAAGTAAACAATTCATCTGAAATGTGTTTAATAGTTCTAATGTAACGGGATGGCACCAAAGTTCATTGATTACATAATAATAATAAATTATGATGTTGGGCATAAATGCAGCGAATAACTAATCACCCCATCATTTAATGCGTGATGTATTCTTAGCAGTTGTTAAATAATACGTGTATTTTTTCGTTACTATCAACGCATCATTAATTAGTATCTCGCTATTTACAGTCTTCCTTTTTTTTATTGAAATTATTCTGTCTACGAATGATTTCTTAAATTTCATCGAGGAATCAATCTGAGCAAATGACGCTGCATTTTAATATCTATAGGTATTTTGCCCTAATTTTACCAAAACTATGATTTTTTAACCATATATATATATATACCCGAATTTTTAAAGAAGATATGGACTTTTTAAGCGGTACTGTAAGGTAACAGGAATGCGTTCGTTCTGAACAATTTTAGTGAACTTTATTATGAGATTGCGGTCTAATCGCGTGTTGATAGTAATATATATCATATGATAAGTCTAATTATTACACCGATGAACCGAATTCGGAAAATCTTAATATAGCGGAGTTTCGGATCGGATTATTATAATTTAAAATAAATTTGATTTTGATATACCGGATTTCAGATTTTCCTCGATATACCGGATTTTTGAAAAATCTTCTATTGGAATGGAATGGTCCAGTTATAATGTTATATCGTATTTCATCGTACTGTCAAAATCTTATTAATGTCACCTTTTTACAGTTAAAAACCATCTGCGCTAATAAGACACTTATTGAATAAGATTTTTCTTAATAATTTTCAGAAGAGTATACAATATTTAATTTATCAATAAAAATAATGCAATAACTCGATATAATGACTGTGTGAATTTTCACGATATGAAATCATTAAACTTATAAATTTTGAATTTTGATATATCGATTTTTTTCTGGAACGGAACCTGTGTACTGTACATTGTGAAAATTCTATTCTCAGATTAAGCGAAATCATGTTTTAAAAATATACGTGAACAATTTCTAGTTAAATGTTTCAACTACCTTTAGATAATAAAACCCGAACTAAGCCCTCTCAGAATTCCTGCTTGTATTTGATATTTTGATTGTTCTCAGAAATTGATTTTACTCTATAACTTATATAAATCATATAACTTAAATTGCTAAATCATTTCACGATTTAATTAATCGATTTTATTCATAATTATGTATATGCTTTTTAAAGTCATTTACCGTCCCTTTGATTCATGAATGTGTGCCCAACAATGAGGTTAAAAAACGTGGGTTTCTATGGAAACATAGCAGTATCTTCGTTCAGAGCAGGGAGATTTTGAAATATAGATGGTTAACCAATTAGTAAATCTGTGACTGCCTCTTTATTCTAACCCAGACTTTTTTGCGAATTTTGTTATATCCTCCCTTTTTTTATAAATCTAACAGCTAAGGATAAAAAAAAATAAAATAATAAAATATGAAATTTATAAATGAAAAAACATATTTTAAAATATAAGTATAAAAAATAAAATTTAAATTTATAAATAATAAAGATTTAAAAATAAAATATAAGAAATAAAATATAAAATTTTATAGGTAAAAAAAATGAAAATGCCGATTTTTGACGTTTTGCCAAGATAATATTTAATGAAGTAATTTCTGTCGCTTCGACTGCAGTAATTTCTTAAAAGAATAATCCAACCAGTTCCAATCTTTATTAAAAATAGGCAATGCATTGGACTGGGATAATCATTTCTCCACATTGGATTTGCATGTCGCCAACGATGCAGTATAGCAGTTCCAATGTCAATGAGGTGAACATGAGGATCGGGTATGGTGGTGAGATCGGGATTGACGCCTGCTTCATAAACATTTATCCTTTATTAAAGTGCTCATTTTTCTGTATTCATATCAGGTATCTTCTACGATCAACATAAAATAAAGTGTTGTCAATGGGTCTGATCGCTGAAGAAACTTTGCAACACTGTTTCTTTGCACAGTTTTGGACTCATGCTTAAAATAATGAAAAAGTCAGTTAAATAATTACGTTCTGTTAACCAGAATAGCTCCTCATGAAAACGCTAATATGTAAAAGTCGGGGTCCGAGCCAGATAGATGTCCTTCCAGGTTTCCATTTAACACATTTAACAGACATTTTAAATTCCCGCACCCGACTTTGAAATTTTTGCATTGTCGCCTTGTTGGATCAAATCTTGTTGTCATTGGATTTGATTGAACAAAATCTTTTTGGTAAACACGACATTAGGCCATTGAATAAAGAAAGTTGAATAAGTTTGCGTTCAAGGCATTTTTGATGTAAAAATAGTGAAAATACAGTAAAATAGATTTAAAGTAGATTTAATAGAAAGGATAGAATGATTTGGAAATTATCTAATAGGAGTGATTTGGTGGGAAAAATATTGAGAATAGGCTCTATATTTATAATAAATTTTATTGTAATTTAAATCTTGATCGGTAATAAATATAAATTTGACAATTGCGTTACGATCTTGGCTAACAATAATTTACAAATTTTTATAGATAAATTCCTTTCCCCCTTTTTTAAAAAAAAAGTGTAGTAAAATTAGTAAAATTGGCTAACAATAATTTACAAATTTTTTTATAGATAAATTCCTTTCCCCCTCTTTTTCTTTTTTAAAAAAAAGTGTAGTAAAATTGGCTAACAATAATTTACAAATTTTTATAGAAAAATTCCTTTTACACTCTTTTATTTTGATAAAAAAAGAGGTAAAAAAAAGTGGAGAGGAGGTTAAGGCTACACGAATAACTTCAATAGCTTTGAAAATGCCGAATTGTAAGATCTATTTGGTTAGTCTAACTAGTTAAAAAATAAAAATTTTTGTATTTGCAAAAAAAAAGCCAAAGTTTTTTGATTTTACATAAAAAATTACATACAGTACACAGTATTTGGATTTTCATATATTTAGATATGTTGAAATAATATTAGTATTAGTTAGTATTCATACTTTTTAATTTTTAAGATCAAAAATTAGTTTACAGAGACGATATTTCTTGGCATTTTCGTATTTTCGGCATAATTGTTCATCCAATTAAATAATTGAAATCTTTATTTAGTAATGATTCGAAAATTTTCACGTTAAAAGTCAAATTTGCTTTCCCGAATTTTACTAGCTTAATGCATACCGATACAGTTTTTTTCATATATAAATACCTCCCTCTCCCCTTGAAATTTTTTTTTTTTTTACCTAAATACCTCATTATCGTGTTAAATATTTCGTTACCTTAAATTGTAAATACCTCATTATCTCAAATACCTCATTATTTCAAATACCTTATTATCTTAGATCCTCATTATTTTAAATACTCCGTTACCTTAAATACCCCATTATAAATACCTTATTACCTCAAAATATTTCGTTGTGTTAAAATACATTATTACTTCAAATTCTTTCATTACCTCAAATAATTTTTTTTTAATAATGAAGATAAAAGATTTTTATGAAATATCTAAACCGTTAATATTAGATGGTGGATTGGCAACTGAATTAGAGATAACATGTGGAAAAAAATTCACAACAAATTTATGGTCAGCTTCTTGTTTATATCAAGATCCTGATGCGATAAGAGAAGTTCATTTATCATATTTTAGGGCTGGTGCTGATATTGCGACTACATGCAGGTATATATAATTTTTTTACGATTTAATCTTTCCATTATTAAGAAATTAAGAGATTTTTACAGTCTAACATACTTATTTACTTAGTTATCAGATTCCTATCGATACTTTTATAAAGGAAGGATTTACAAAACAAGAAGCGATAGAATTAATACAAAAATCAGTACATCTTGCTGTAGAAGCAAGAGATATATTTTGGAAAGAATATAAAGAATATAAGGAATATAAAGAAGATCAAACACAAAAAAGAATGAAACCTATGATAGCATTATCATTTGGACCATTTGGAGGATCATTAGGAGATTATAGTGAATATACAGGAAATTATGGAAATGATATTAATTTAGAAAAATTAAAAGAATTTCATAAAAATAATTTAAATATATTTAAACCTTTATTATCATTAATTGATTTTATAGCATTTGAAACTATACCATCATATTTAGAAATTGAATCAATTTGTTCATTATTAAAAGAAGAAGATGATCTTGATATACCTTGTTGGGTATCATTTACATGTAAAAATGAGGATCAAATAAGTGATGGTAAATTATTAATTGATTGTATAAAATTATGTAGTAAAATTGATTGTATTGTAAGTATAGGAATTAATTGTGTTATTCCAAAATTTATTGAAAAATCGGTTAAGAATATTCGTGATGAATTAGATAAAAATGGGTATGAAAAAAAATATGTTATATGTTATCCTAATGCTGGAGATTATAGATGTGATGATAAAATTAATCCTGATGAATTTGAAGATTATACTAAAATTTGGGCAGAATTAGCAAAATTTAAAATCATTATAGGAGGATGTTGTAAGACAACACCTGATCATATACGAAATATTCGAAATGCACTTAAAAGTTTCCCGGGATTAGGAATTGAATAGGGGGACTACTTACGTTGATTCTGGCTGTTCGAATTAGTGAGAGAGGCGGTATTACCTGGAGAGAGGTAATTTGAGATGAGAGAGAGGTTAGTGAGATGTATTTACCCGGAGAGACGCTATTAGACTATTATTTGGTTTAATCATTTGAGAGGAATCACATGATATATATCAAACTTCACAATAAACTAGTATTGGATAAATATTCGATTTAGGATATCTATGGATATTATCGAAAGAGAAAAAAATTGTAACACTTTATATAAATGATGTTGAGGCAATATACATGTACAATATACGATCAAATAACAATTATTTATTCATTTGATAGTTGTAACTTGTAATAGATACTACAACATTTACATTCAAACAGTTGAAAATGCTTATATTTTAAATTAATTTCATGTAATTTTGATTCCTGTAAACCTAAGAACTGGTTTGGAAGAGTGACTTTGAGGAGCTGGTTATTTACTATGCTAGTAGTAAATAAATGGGTTATCATCCGAATTGTCTTCTTTGAAGTCAGAGGCCTGATATCACATGATTTGCTTCAATAACACATTGTAACTATTCGAGATCTCATCGAGAATCTTAGTGTGAGTAATATTTTTAATCATGCGTATTGCGTACTTAAGGCATGCGTACTTAAAGCATGTGTACTTAAAGGCATGCGTACTTAAGGCATGCGTATTTGAGGTATGCGTATTTGAGGTATGTGTATTTGAGGTATGCGTATTTGAGGTATGCGTACTTGAGGTATGCGTATTTGAGGTTATGCGTATTTGAGGTATGCTATTTTAAGGTGGGTGAATCAACCACGTGAAATATTTATTTCACACGGATTTTGTTCACGAGGGTACGAGGAGGTTTTTTCTTTCACGCGGACTATATATAATATATATATACTTCTTTATTCACGCAGATTACAAATTCTTTTATTCACGCAGATTACATATTCTTTTATTCACGCAGATTACAAATTCTTTTATTCACGCAGATTACATATTCTTTTATTCACGCGGATTACATATTTTTTTTATTCACGCGGATTACATATTCTTTTATTCACGCGGATTAAGAATTACGACATATTCTTTTATTCACGCGGATTGCAAATTACGACATATTGATATGACATTTTTTTTGTACACCAAATCTATATTAAATCTATATTGATGAAATGTTGTACTTAATAAATATTGTAAATATTGTGAAATATTTAATTAAAATGCAAAATAGAAATGACGAAATGACGAGATATAAGAAAATATACAAAATATACATGATATGCACAAAATAAACAACAAACACCCTTAATTTTTTTTTTTTACATCAACAACAAAAAAAAAAAAACAAATGTGATTAAAAGTTAAGAATTGTTGGAAGGCGAATCACGTGAGAATCCTAGAAATTGAAAAAGTCAAATGAAATTCCATCCATAGAATCTCAACTCTCAAAGAAGATTCGAAAAAAAAAAAAAAATACTCCTTATTATTTTTTCTTGAATTTTTACAAGTTTTAATAAAATCAAAACAAAAACAAAACATTTCGATTTTAGATATTTTAAACGGAAATAATATTAAGTAAGTAAAGTAATAATAATATTAATTATTTAATCAAAATATATATTATATATATATATATATATATTATATATCTCTTGATATATTTATTATATTATATTTATATATAAATAAATAAATAAATAAAAAGAAAAAAAAGGTTCAAATTTTCAAAATTTCAAATTTCAATGATTTACTTTTTTAATTTTTAGTTTATTATTATTTTTTATTTTTTACAATAGTAACAATAGTAACAATAGTACAAAAGAATAGGATACGAATAACAAAATAGTAAATAAAATGTTACGATAAATGTTACGATATATCAGATATGTTACGATATATTATTATTCATCTGTTAGATATTGTATTACGAAATTTTATTTATTCACAAGATTTTTTCATTAGATTATCTAAAACATCAAATAATATTATTCGTCAAGAAGATTTGAACGAATAAAAAGGGAAGATTACAAAGTGGGCTAATACAAAGGCCAATGAACTAACCATTAAATGACATTCTAATAAAACTAGATCATCACAAACAAGAAAATTTGGTTAAACGAACCATTGATCATGAAGATTAAATAATTGTAATACTTGAAGGCGCAGTTCAAAATTACACAAAATTAGAAACGCGAATATAATAATATTTAATAATATAAAAGTTAATAAAACTTTCATTGTATGAAAATCGACTAAAAATTAAAAAGAACGCGTATTCTTTTTCTAGATTTTTATAATGGATTAAAATGATTTGAGAAAAAAATTTGTAATAGTGTAATAATATGTGTAATGTTTGAAATATTGTTAAATTGATAATAAAAAATTGATAAACAAATAACGCATTAACGCGTTTAAAAATAGCACATGACGTTCCACGCATATTCTACGCATATTCTATATAATATATATATAATAATAAAAAAAAATTGGTTCGGAAATTCATAATCCATACATACAAGTTTTGATGATCTTTCCTTCATAATTTGTGTGTTTAAAAATATGTTTTAATGTTTGCTTGAATTAATTTACTTTTTGAAGATTAAGGATTATACTTTAATGTTTTTTTTTTTGTTACCTGTTTTTGTATTAGTTAGTTTTGACATGTACGTAATGTTATGCTAGTTTATAAATTGTATTAATTGAATATGAAAGGTAAACTTTAAATTTTATTACCGTTTTAAGCATACAGGTTAAAATAAAAATTAAGAAACAACGTAAAAAAATTGACAAAAAATTTCTTTTTTTCAACAAGTCATTTTTGAAAGTCTTATTGGATTTAAAATTCCATTGTTTTTTTTTTTTGAAGATTATAATTTTTTTGTGTTCATTATCTTTATATTATCTTTATATTATCTTTTTTAATATTTTTGTCGATATTTTTTTTTTTTTAAAAAAAAAATTTTTTATTTTCTTTTTATAATTATTAATTAATTAAATTAATTAAAAAAGGGATAATATAATATATTTGGATAATTTTGGAAATGAGAAATTATCAAAAAAGGGATTTTTTGGGATCACGAAATTTTTAGTATCTTTTAGTCTAAAAAAATCAAATTTTTTTTGAATTTTTTTTTTTATTTTATTTTTTTTT